TATTTTTATTAATAAACTTTCGCTGGGGATGGGGATGGGATTGCCTTATGAAATGTATGGAATATATGAAATGTATGTAATGGAATGAAATATACTTTGGTTCCCCCTCCCGCTTCTCCTCTCTGACCCTTTGCCCCAAAAAGAATGTGACCCGAGGATTACTGTAACAGGGAGGAAATCCTTTGTCCTCCCGAAACGGTCCATATTTACATTTGCATGGGCCCGTGATTGATTCCTTCTCAAAGCTTGCTTTCAGAGCAGACAGTAAGATGAGGGATGGGTCAACAGAAACTCAGGGATAAAAAGGCTGATTATATCATTTTTAGGTATTTGTTGATCCCCCTTGTTTACAAGGCCCCCTTGTTTACAAGGCCCTGAGGTCCAAATACCATCAGTAGCTCCTTTTTCACCTTTTTCATACTTCCTCCCAAATCCCATCACAGACCAGGAAACTTATTGTTCCCCTATCAGACACCCCGCCAGGTGAGGACAAAAGCCTCACATTCCCCTTAAGGCTGTCATTTCCTCAGTCTTTGTCAAGCTTCGTCCCGCCTCCTGGCTGCCGATTGGTCCATCTTCAGAGGCGCTAGGAAGGCACTGATTGGCCTCCCAGAGGCAGCGGAGCCCGCTGATTGGTCCAGAGGCGAGGCATGCTGCCAAGCCTCCTCCCAGCTGTTCCGCGGCCAGCCAATCAGAGCGAAGCCGGCCGGCAGAGGGCGGGCGGGATTTTTGAAAATGTTTCCTTTGTCTGTACGCTATAAAAATGCCTGGAAATTCTGTAAAACCATGCTTGCAGTGGAATGATTCCTGCAATGCATCTGATCTCAGCTGAATCACAATAAACCTCGGTTGCTAGAAACTTCTTCCACTTGGATGAGGCATTATTATTTGTAATATTTTTACTCTTTGGATTGGCTCTCGCTGGCCTCACCAAGGGACCCAGAGCCCTTTAGGCGCGGTCCTCGGGTCTCTCTCTCTCTCAAGGAGACCCCGCTAAAAGCAGCTCGATATCAGGAGGACTGCCGCCTTGTTCCAAAAAGGAAGAGAAGAAGAGACGGAGAGATCTTCAGCCTCATGGTTTTCTCATGGTCTTTGGTGACCCCTCTGAAATGCCCATTCGACTCCCCACAAGGAAGGGGTGGTGACCCCCAGGTTGAGAAACGCTTCTCTAGCTTCAGGGCTCTGTTGATGAGGGGGCTCCAAGGCTTTAAAAAAATCCTAGCATTGTTCACTCCAGCAACAGACTGGAACAACAGACTGGTTCCAGATTGGGAAAGGCGTCCGGCAAGGCTGCATCCTCTCACCCAACCTTTTTAACTTGTATGCAGAACACATCATGCGAGGATGTGCGGGGCTTGAGGAATGCAAAGCTGGGGTGAAGATTGCTGGAAGAAACATTAACAACCTCAGATATGCAGATGACACCACTCTGATGGCCGAAAGCGAGGAGGAGCTGAGGAGCCTTCTAATCAAGGTGAAAGAAGAAAGCGCAAAAGCCGGGTTGCAGCTAAACGTCAAAAAAACCAAGATTATGGCAACAAGAATGATTGACAACTGGGAAATAGAGGGAGAAACCGTGGAGGCCGTGACAGACTTTGTATTTCTAGGTGCAAAGATGACTGCAGACGCAGACTGTAGCCAGGAAATCAGAAGACGCTTCCTTCTTGGGAGGAGAGCAATGTCCAGTCTCGATCAAATAGTAAAGAGTAGAGACATCAGACTGGCAACGAATATACGCATAGTCCAAGCCATGGCATTCCCCGTAGTCACCTACAGATGTGAGAGCGGGACCTGAGGGAAGGCTGAGCGAAGGAAGAGAGATGCTTTTGAGCTGTGGTGTTGGAGGAAAGTCCTGAGAGTGCCTTGGACTGCGAGAAGATCCAACCAGTCCATCCTCCAGGAAAGAAAGCCCGACTGCTCATTGGAGGGAAAGATACTAGAGACAAAGCGGAAGTCCTTTGAATGCCACATCATGAGGAGACAGCAAAGCCTAGAGAAGGGAATGATGCTGGGGAAAGTGGAAGGCAAAAGGAAGAGGGGCCGACCAAGGGCAAGAGGGATGGATGGCATCCTTGAAGTGACTGGACTGACCTTGAGGAGCTGGGGGGTGGTGACAACCAACAGGGAGCTCTGGCGTGGGCTGGTCCAGGAGGTCACGAAGAGTCGGAGACGACTGAACGAATGAACAACAACAACAAAAGCATTCTTCAAACTTATGATGTCAATTTCCCCCTGTAATGCTGTGATGCCTTTTTAACCTGGTCACTAGTCCTCTGTCACAGCGACTGAGATCTCTATGAAGTAACCGATCCGAAGACAGAACGGAAGCATAGAGTTGTTGTTGTTGCTGTTGTTTCTGTGTGTGTACAAGTCACACAGAGAAATGAATGAAATGCACCTTCTGTCTCTCTTTCCGGAGGAACGTCCTTGGGACACAATGTCCTTGATGGAAGGAGATGGAGCCCTTCCTTCCACGGGCAGGAAGGAAGGCCACTCTGGATCCGACTCTCAGGCAACAGCTCTCGCTTCATGGCATCGATGCTGGGTCCAGGGCTCCTCCTCAGGGTCAGATAGACATCAGAGGAACCTAGCCAGGGTTGACATATCTCGGAAGGCGTATCGTAAATGTCATCAGAGGATCGGTATTGAGCACCCATTTGCTTATTGCTTTATCTACCCATAACCCATCCATGTTTAGGTCAGTTAATACAAGTTCCAGCAGATTGGAGGAGGGCCAATGTGGTCCCAATCTTCAAGAAGGGAAAAAAGGATGACCCAAACAACTACCAATGTCCGGTCAGCCTCACGTCGATACCGGGCAAGATTCTGGAAAAGATTGTTAAGGAAGCGGTCTGCAAACACTTAGAAACAAATGCAGTCATCGCTAATAGTCAACATGGATTGATCAAAAACAAGTCATGCCAGACTCATCTGATCTCTTTCTTCGATAGAGCTACAAGCTGGACAGATGCGGGGAATGATGCCGTGGATGGAGCGTGTCTGGATTTCAGGAAGGCCTTCTTCGACAAGGTCCCCCATGACCTTCTGGCAAGGAAACTAGTCCAATGTGGGCGAGGCAAAACTACGGTGAGGTGGATCTGGAATTGGTGAAATGGACCAACCCAGAGGGTGATTCTCCCCAAGGCTTCCTCCTCTTCAACCTGGAAAGAAGGGACAAGTGGAGTGCCGCAGGGTTCCGTCCTGGGCCCGGTCCTGATCAGGATCTTTATTAATGACTTAGATGAAGGGCTAGAAGGCATGATCATCAAGTTTGCAGACACCAAATTGGGAGGGATAGCCAATAGTCCAGAGGACAGGAGCAGAATTCAAAAAAATCTTGACAGATTAGAGAGATGATGGGCCAAAACTAACAAATGAAGTTCAACAGGGACAAATGCAAGATACTCCACTTAGGCAGAAAAAACAAAATGCAAAGAGACAGAATGGGGGACGATGAGGCCTGGCTTGAGAGCAGCACATGTGGAAAAGATCTTGGAGTCCTTCACAGATTGGAGAGATGATGGGCCAAAACTCAAAAAAGGAAGTTCAACAGGGACAAATGCAAGATACTCCACTTAGGCAGAAAAAACGAAATGCAAAGAGACAGAATGGGGGACGATGAGGCCTGGCTTGAGAGCAGCACATGTGGAAAAGATCTTGGAGTCCTTCACAGATTGGAGAGATGATGGGCCAAAACTCAAAAAAGGAAGTTCAACAGGGACAAATGCAAGATACTCCACTTTGGCAGAAAAAACGAAATGCAAAGATACAGAATGGGGTACAATGAGGCCTGGCTCGATGTGTGGGGCCTCGGCCTCTTGTAAGCCGCACCAAGTCCTTCGGGAGATGTTAGCGGGGTAGAAATAAAGGTTTATTATTTTTATTATTATATTATAAAAATAATATAATGAACTATAACAATAATAATAATAAATATAATACAAAGAGAATCATAGAATTCTAGAGTTGGAAGAGACCTCCTGGGCCTTCATCCAGTCCAACCCCATTCTGCCAAGAAGCAGGAATATTGCATTCAAATCACCCCTGACAGATGGCCATCCAGCCTCTGTTTAAAAGCTTCCAAAGAAGGAGCCTCAACCACACTCCGGGGCAGAGAGTTCCACTGCTGAACAGCTCTCACAGGAACATAGATAGATAGGAACTGTGATAGACAGACAGATAGACAGATAAGAATACCCATAGATAGATAGATAGATAGATAGATAGATAGATAGATAGATAGATAGATAGATAGGGACATAGGGAGGAACACTGATAGGATAGATAGATAGATGAGAGAGAGAGAGAGAGAGATAGGAACAATGATAGACAGATAGGAACATAGATAGCTAGGAACACCAATAGAGGAGGTAGATAGATAGATAGATAGATAGATAGATAGATAGATAGATAGATAGATAGATAGAATCCTAGAATCAAAGAGTTGGGAGAGACCTCCTGGGCCTTCATCCAGTCCAACCCCATTCTGCCAAGAAGCAGGAATGTTGCATTCAAAGCACCCCTGACAGATAGCCATCCAGCCTCTGCTTGAAAGCCTCCAAAGAAGGAGCCTCCACCACACTCCCTCTGGGGCAGAGAGTTCCACTGCTGAACGGCTCTCACAGTCAGGAAGTCCTTCCTCATGTTCAGATGGAATCTCCTCTCTTGTAGTTTGATGATGATGATGATTATTATTATTATTTAATCCAGCGTCCAGTGACAAATATCCTAACTTTTTGGACAATCCCCATTTATTTGGTCTTACCATCTGGAGCAGAGTGGAGGGTGGGACCTGGACCCCAGCCACAAAGCCCATATGGTATTAAGGCCTGAGCGCGAATCCTACCCAGTAAAGCAGTGGCTCCCAACCTTTTGAGCCTCCAAGTGTTTTGGACTTCAACTCCCAGAATTCCCAGCCAGTTTGCCAGCTGTTGGGAATTGGGAGTTGAAATCCAAAAGTTCTGGAGGCCCAGAGGTAAAGAAAGAGCAAAACACACACATTTATGAGGTTCTTTCTACGCTTTTTATTTCCCTAGAAGTGATGGGAAAGGAAGAGGAGGAAGGGGTTCATTGGTGCACGACTCGAACTCGGGATCCGGAAGAGGAAGAGGAAGAAGAGGAAGGCCCTCCGTCCCGGTTACGCAAAAGTGGATCCGTTCCATCCCACGTTGGCCGCATTCATGTCATAGTAGTTGATGTAGACCCTGCGGGAACAGGAGGAGATCTCTTATGTATACATTTGTGTATATTAAATATATAATATTTAAATTATATATGCCACACATGGTCCAACTTCAGCCCTCCCTCCAGGTGTTTTGGACATCCAACTCCCACAATTCCTAGCAGCCGGTGTATTATTATTATTATTATTATTATTATTATTATTATTATTGTTATTATATTTTAATATTTATTATATTGTTTTATATTATTATATTTTATTATTTTGTTTTAACATACTATTTTTAATATTTACTAGCCATCCCCTGCCATGCGTTGCTGTGGCCCAGTCTGTGTATATTATATTATTATTATTATTATTATTATATTTTAATATTTATTGTTATTATATTGTTTTATATTATTATATTTTATTATTTTGTTTCAACATACTATTTTTAATATTTACTAGCCATCCTTTGCCACGCGTTGCGGTGGCCCAGTCTGTGTAAATAATAATAATAATAATAATTATTATTATTATTATTTTTTTAATATTTATTGTTATTATATTGTTTTATATTATTATATTTTACTATTTTGTTTTTACACACTATTTTTAATATTTACTAGCCAGCCCCTGCCACGCGTTGCTGTGGCCCAGTCTGCGTATATTATATTATTATTATTATTATTATTATTATATTTTAATATTTATTGTTATTATATTGTTTTATATTATTATATTTTATTATTTTGTTTCAACATACTATTTTTAATATTTACTAGCCATCCCTTGCCACGCGTTGCTGTGGCCCAGTCTGTGTATATTATATTATTATTATTATATTTTAATATTTATTGTTATTATATTGTTTTATATTATTATATTTTATTATTTTGTTTCAACATACTATTTTTAATATTTACTAGCCAGCCCCTGCCACGTGTTGCTGTGGCCCAGTCTGTGTATATTATTATTATTATTATTATTATATTTTAATATTTATTGTTATTATATTGTTTTATATTATCATATTTTATTATTTTGTTTTAACATACTATTTTTAATATTTACTAGCCAGCCCCTGCCACGCGTTGCTGTGGCCCAGTCTGTGTATATTATTATTATTATTATTATTATTATTATTATTATTATTATATTTTAATATTTATTGTTATTATATTGTTTTATATTATCATATTTTATTATTTTGTTTTAACATACTATTTTTAATATTTACTAGCCAGCCCCTGCCACGCGTTGCTGTGGCCCAGTCTGCGTATATTATATTATTATTATTATTATTATTATTATTATATTTTAATATTTATTGTTATTATATTGTTTTATATTATTATATTTTATTATTTTGTTTCAACATACTATTTTTAATATTTACTAGCCAGCCCCTGCCACGCGTTGCTGTGGCCCAGTCTGTGTATATTATTATTATTATTATTATTATTATTATTATTATTATTATTATTATTATTATATTTTAATATTTATTGTTATTATATTGTTTTATATTATTATATTTTATTATTTTGTTTTTACACACTATTTTTAATATTTACTAGCCATCCCCTGCCATGCGTCGCTGTGGCCCAGTCTGTGTATATTATTATTATTATATTTTAATATTTATTATTATATTGTTTTATATTATTATATTTTATTATGTTGTTTTAACACACTATTTTTAATATTTACTAGCCATCCTTTGCCACGCGTTGCGGTGGCCCAGTCTGTGTAAATAATAATAATAATAATAATAATAATAATAATAATTATTATTATTATTATTAATATTTATTGTTATTATATTGTTTTATATTATTATATTTTATTATTTTGTTTTTACACACTATTTTTAATATTTACTAGCCATCCCCTGCCATGCGTTGCTGTGGCCCAGTCTGTGTATATTATATTATTATTATTATTATTATTATATTTTAATATTTATTGTTATTATATTGTTTTATATTATTATATTTTATTATTTTGTTTCAACATACTATTTTTAATATTTACTAGCCATCCTTTGCCACGCGTTGCGGTGGCCCAGTCTGTGTAAATAATAATAATAATAATAATTATTATTATTATTATTTTTTTAATATTTATTGTTATTATATTGTTTTATATTATTATATTTTACTATTTTGTTTTTACACACTATTTTTAATATTTACTAGCCAGCCCCTGCCACGCGTTGCTGTGGCCCAGTCTGCGTATATTATATTATTATTATTATTATTATTATTATTATTATTATTATTATATTTTAATATTTATTGTTATTATATTGTTTTATATTATTATATTTTATTATTTTGTTTCAACATACTATTTTTAATATTTACTAGCCATCCCTTGCCACGCGTTGCTGTGGCCCAGTCTGTGTATATTATATTATTATTATTATATTTTAATATTTATTGTTATTATATTGTTTTATATTATTATATTTTATTATTTTGTTTCAACATACTATTTTTAATATTTACTAGCCAGCCCCTGCCACGTGTTGCTGTGGCCCAGTCTGTGTATATTATTATTATTATTATTATTATTATTATTATTATTATTATTATTATTATTATTATTATTATATTTTAATATTTATTGTTATTATATTGTTTTATATTATCATATTTGATTATTTTGTTTTAACATACTATTTTTAATATTTACTAGCCAGCCCCTGCCACGCGTTGCTGTGGCCCACTCTGTGTATATTATTATTATTATTATTATTATTATTATTATTATTATTATTATATTTTAATATTTATTATTATATTGTTTTATATTATTATATTTTATTATTTTGTTTCAACATACTATTTTTAATATTTACTAGCCACCCCTTGCCACACGTTGCGGTGGCCCAGTCTGTGTATATTATTATTATTATTATTATTATTATTATATTTTAATATTTATTGTTATTATATTGTTTTATATTATTATATTTTATTATTTTGTTTTTACACACTATTTTTAATATTTACTAGCCATCCCCTGCCATGCGTTGCTGTGGCCCAGTCTGTGTATATTATATTATTATTATTATTATTATTATATTTTAATATTTATTGTTATTATATTGTTTTATATTATTATATTTTATTATTTTGTTTCAACATACTATTTTTAATATTTACTAGCCATCCTTTGCCACGCGTTGCGGTGGCCCAGTCTGTGTAAATAATAATAATAATAATAATTATTATTATTATTATTTTTTTAATATTTATTGTTATTATATTGTTTTATATTATTATATTTTACTATTTTGTTTTTACACACTATTTTTAATATTTACTAGCCAGCCCCTGCCACGCGTTGCTGTGGCCCAGTCTGCGTATATTATATTATTATTATTATTATTATTATATTTTAATATTTATTGTTATTATATTGTTTTATATTATTATATTTTATTATTTTGTTTCAACATACTATTTTTAATATTTACTAGCCATCCCTTGCCACGCGTTGCTGTGGCCCAGTCTGTGTATATTATATTATTATTATTATATTTTAATATTTATTGTTATTATATTGTTTTATATTATTATATTTTATTATTTTGTTTCAACATACTATTTTTAATATTTACTAGCCAGCCCCTGCCACGTGTTGCTGTGGCCCAGTCTGTGTATATTATTATTATTATTATTATTATATTTTAATATTTATTGTTATTATATTGTTTTATATTATCATATTTTATTATTTTGTTTTAACATACTATTTTTAATATTTACTAGCCAGCCCCTGCCACGCGTTGCTGTGGCCCACTCTGTGTATATTATTATTATTATTATTATTATTATTATTATTATTATTATTATATTTTAATATTTATTGTTATTATATTGTTTTATATTATTATATTTTATTATTTTGTTTCAACATACTATTTTTAATATTTACTAGCCAGCCCCTGCCACGCGTTGCTGTGGCCCAGTCTGATTATATTATTATTATTATTATTATTATATTTTAATATTTATTGTTATTATATTGTTTTATATTATTATATTTTATTATTTTGTTTCAACATACTATTTTTAATATTTACTAGCCATCCCTTGCCACGCGTTGCTGTGGCCCAGTCTGTGTATATTATTATTATTATTATTATTATTATTATTATTATTATTATTATTATTATATATTTTAATATTTATTGTTATTATATTGTTTTATATTATTATATTTTATTATTTTGTTTTTACACACTATTTTTAATATTTACTAGCCATCCCCTGCCATGCGTCGCTGTGGCCCAGTCTGTGTATATTATTATTATTATATTTTAATATTTATTATTATATTGTTTTATATTATTATATTTTATTATGTTGTTTTAACACACTATTTTTAATATTTACTAGCCATCCTTTGCCACGCGTTGCGGTGGCCCAGTCTGTGTAAATAATAATAATAATAATAATAATAATAATAATAATTATTATTATTATTATTAATATTTATTGTTATTATATTGTTTTATATTATTATATTTTATTATTTTGTTTTTACACACTATTTTTAATATTTACTAGCCATCCCCTGCCATGCGTTGCTGTGGCCCAGTCTGTGTATATTATATTATTATTATTATTATTATTATATTTTAATATTTATTGTTATTATATTGTTTTATATTATTATATTTTATTATTTTGTTTCAACATACTATTTTTAATATTTACTAGCCATCCTTTGCCACGCGTTGCGGTGGCCCAGTCTGTGTAAATAATAATAATAATAATAATTATTATTATTATTATTTTTTTAATATTTATTGTTATTATATTGTTTTATATTATTATATTTTACTATTTTGTTTTTACACACTATTTTTAATATTTACTAGCCAGCCCCTGCCACGCGTTGCTGTGGCCCAGTCTGTGTATATTATTATTATTATTATTATTATTATTATTATTATTATTATTATTATTATTATATTTTAATATTTATTGTTATTATATTGTTTTATATTATTATATTTTATTATTTTGTTTCAACATACTATTTTTAATATTTACTAGCCATCCCTTGCCACGCGTTGCTGTGGCCCAGTCTGTGTATATTATATTATTATTATTATATTTTAATATTTATTGTTATTATATTGTTTTATATTATTATATTTTATTATTTTGTTTCAACATACTATTTTTAATATTTACTAGCCAGCCCCTGCCACGTGTTGCTGTGGCCCAGTCTGTGTATATTATTATTATTATTATTATTATTATTATTATTATTATTATTATTATTATTATTATTATATTTTAATATTTATTGTTATTATATTGTTTTATATTATCATATTTGATTATTTTGTTTTAACATACTATTTTTAATATTTACTAGCCAGCCCCTGCCACGCGTTGCTGTGGCCCACTCTGTGTATATTATTATTATTATTATTATTATTATTATTATTATTATTATTATTATTATATTTTAATATTTATTATTATATTGTTTTATATTATTATATTTTATTATTTTGTTTCAACATACTATTTTTAATATTTACTAGCCACCCCTTGCCACACGTTGCGGTGGCCCAGTCTGTGTATATTATTATTATTATTATTATTATTATTATATTTTAATATTTATTGTTATTATATTGTTTTATATTATTATATTTTATTATTTTGTTTTAACATACTATTTTTAATATTTACTAGCCATCCCCTGCCACGTTGCTGTGGCCCAGTCTGTGTATATTATTATTATTATTATTATTATTATTATTATTATTATTATTATTATATTTTAATATTTATTGTTATTATATTGTTTTATATTATCATATTTGATTATTTTGTTTTAACATACTATTTTTAATATTTACTAGCCAGCCCCTGCCACGCGTTGCTGTGGCCCACTCTGTGTATATTATTATTATTATTATTATTATTATTATTATTATTATTATTATTATTATTATTATTGTTATATTTTAATATTTATTATTATATTGTTTTATATTATTATATTTTATTATTTTGTTTTTACACACTATTTTTAATATTTACTAGCCATCCCCTGCCATGCGTTGCTGTGGCCCAGTCTGTGTATATTATTATTATTATATTTTAATATTTATAATTATATTGTTTTATATTATTATATTTTATTATTTTGTTTTAACATACTATTTTTAATATTTACTAGCCATCCCCTGCCATGCGTTGCTGTGGCCCAGTCTGTGTATATTATTATTATTATATTTTAATATTTATAATTATATTGTTTTATATTATTATATTTTATTATTTTGTTTTAACATACTATTTTTAATATTTACTAGCCATCCCCTGCCATGCGTTGCTGTGGCCCAGTCTGTGTATATTATTATTATTATATTTTAATATTTATAATTATATTGTTTTATATTATTATATTTTATTATTTTGTTTTAACATACTATTTTTAATATTTACTAGCCATCCCCTGCCATGCGTTGCTGTGGCCCAGTCTGTGTATATTATTATTATTATATTTTAATATTTATTATTATATTGTTTTATATATATACACACACACACACACACACACACACACACACATACACACACACACACACGGGTTACAACTAAAGATTTATTATTATTATTATTATTATTATTATTATTATTAATTATTTCCCCCTAAATTGCCTTCCCAAAACCAGCCTGCACATTAGATTCGCATCATTTATGGTCAATACTTTTGTGGCTTTCAGGGTTTTGAACATGGAGGGGCACATCAGATTCAATGGCGCATTAGACTCCAGGAAATACTCTCTCTCTCTCTCTCTCTCTCTAACTATATATATATATATGCATGGTGTATATATATATACACCATGCAAATGCATGGTGTGTGTGTGTGTGTGTATATATATATATACGTGTGTGTGTGTGCGCGCGCATATATATATATATATATATATATATATATATATATATACACACACACACACACACACACACACACACACACACACACACACACCATCCATCCGCATGGTGTATATATATATACACCATGCATATATATATATATATATATAGATAGATAGATAGATAGATAGATAGATAGATATAGATATAGATATAGATAGATAGATAGATAGATAGATAGATAGATAGATAGATAGATAGATAGATAGATAGAGAGAGAGAGAGAGAGAGTATTTCCTGGAGTCTAATGCGCCATTGAATCTGATGTGCCCCTCCATGTTCAAAACCCTGAAAGCCACAAAAGTATTGACCAGAGATGATGCGAATCTAATGTGCAGGCTGGTTTTGGGAAGGCAATTTAGGGGGAAATAATTAATAATAATAATAATCTTGAGTTGTAACCCGCCCAAAGGGGTGCGCCTTAGATTTGATTCAATGCGGTCCCTAGCGATGGGTGGGGTGCCTGCTTGGCTGGCCTTCCGTGGTCCCCCGGCACTCTGCCCACCTGCCGGCCTACCTGTCGGGCGGGATGTGTAGCTTGTCCTGGAGGAGGGCGCAGAGGAGCTTGGAGTAGGCCTTGTTCTGGGCGGCCCCGATCTTGCCGATGCTGTGGAGGCTGCACAGGGCGCACGGCTCCGACGAGGAGCCCCCAAAGGACATGCGCTGGCCGGGAAGGACGTGCACCGCGATGTACTGGGGGAAGTGAAGGGGGGAAGGAGAGAAGAAGGAAGTGAAGGAGGAAGGAAGGAAGAGGAAGAAAGGGGGGAGAATGAAGAAGGGAAGGAAGGAAAGAATTAGGTAAAGGAGAGGAAGAGAAGAGAAGAAAAGGGGGAAGGGAGGGAAGGGAAGAGAGGGAAGAAAGAGTGGAAGGGAGGAAAGGAAGGAATTAAAGAAGGAAGGAAGGAAATGGAGGGAAGGCAGGAAGGAACAAAGGGAGGGAAGGAAAGAAATGAAAGAAGGAGGGAGGGAAATTAAGGAGGGGAGGGAAGAGAGGAAAGAAACAGGGAAGGAAGGAAAGAAGGCGGTAGCAAAGGGTTGGAGAGAATGAAGAAGGGAAGGATGGAGGGAAGGAGATGAAGGAAGATGAGAAGGAAAGGGAGGGAAGAGAGAAAGGGTCAGAGGGAGGGAAGGAAGGGAGGGGGGGAAGAAAGGAAGGAAGGAGGAAAGAGAGAAGGAAGAGGAAGAGAATACAAAGGGAGGGAGGGAGGGAGGGAATGGAGGAGGGAAGGAAGGAAGGAAGGGTGAAGAAGAAAAGAGAGCATTGTCTGGGTGTGAGCTTCCTCTCTGAGAAGATTCCTCCCTCCCTCCTCTCCTGGAATCTTTCCTCTTTCTTTCTTTCTTTCTTCCTTCACTTCCTCCCTCCTTCCTTTGCCCTCCCTTCCCATCCTTTCCTTCCTTCCATCTATCCCTTCCTTGACTTTTCCTTTCCTTCTCTCTCTTTCTTTCCTTCCATCTCTTCCTCTTTCTTTCTTTTTTCCTTTACTTCCTTCCTCCTTCCTTTCTTTGCCTTCCCTTCCTCTATTCCCTCCTTCCATCTATCCCTTCTTTAGCATTTTGTTTTCCCTTCTCCCTTTTCTCTTCCTTCTTTCCCCTTTTCCTCTATCCCTTCCTTCTACCCACTTCTTCCTAAGCCTTCCCTTTCTTTCCATCCCTCCTTCCTTCTTCCCTTTTCTCCTTTCATCTCACCTACAATCTTCCCTCCTTCCTTCCTTTGTCCTCCCTTCCTTCCATCTATCCCTTCCATAGCCTTTCCCCTCCTTTCCTTCCTCCCTTCTCCCTTTCTCTCCTTCCTTCCTTCTCTCCTGGACTCTTCCCACTTTTCTCTTCCCCCTCCCTTCCTCTATTCCTTCCTCCCTCCTTTCCTTTCCTTGGCCTTTCCCTCCCTCTTTTTCTCTCCTTCTGCGTCCATTCTTCCTTAGCCTTTCCTTTCCATCCATCCCTCCTTCCTTCTTTTCTCTTCTTCCACCTCTCCTCTAACCTTCCCTCCTTCCTTCCTTCGCCCTCCCTTCCCACCCTTTCCTCTCTTCCTTCCTTCCTTCCTTCCCTTCCTGAGCCTTTCCTTCCTTCCTTCTCTCCTGGAATCCTTTTTCTCTCCCCCTTCTTTCCCTTCACTTCCCTCTTTCCTTCCTTCGCCCTCCCTTCCCATCCTTTCCTCTCTTCCTTCCTTCCATTTCCTTTCCTCTCCTCCTTTCCTTCCAGGACTTTCGTTCCTCTCTCCTTCCTTCTCCTCCCTTTTTTCCTTCCTTCTTCCTTCCTTTCCTTCTTTTCCTTCCCATCCTTCCCTCTCTTCCTTCCTGAGCTTTCTCTCCTTCCTTCTCTCCCTCTTCCTTCCTTCCTTCCTTCCTTCCTTCCTTCCTTCCTTCCTTCCTTTGTCCTGCCTTCCTCCTTCCCTTCCCTCTTTCCCACCTCTCCTCCCTCCTCTCCTGGAATCTTTCCTCTATCCTCCTTTCCTTCCTTCCTTCCTTCCTTCCTTTGTCCTCCCTTCCCGCCTTTTCCCCTCTCTTTTCCTCTCTCCTCCCTTCCCTTCCTTCCCTCTTTCCCTTCCTCTCCTTCTTTCCTTCCTTCCTTCGTTTTCCCTTCCCATCCTTCCCTCTCTTCCTTCCTGAGCTTTCTCTCCTTCCTTCTCTCCCTCTTCCTTCCTTCCTTCCTTCCTTCCTTCCTTCCTTCCTTCCTTCCTTTGTCCTGCCTTCCTCCTTCCCTTCCCTCTTTCCCACCTCTCCTCCCTCCTCTCCTGGAATCTTTCCTCTCTCCTCCTTTCCTTCCTTCCTTCCTTCCTTTGTCCTCCCTTCCCGCCTTTTCCCCTCTCTTTTCCTCTCTCCTCCCTTCCCTTCCTTCCCTCTTTCCCTTCCTCTCCTTCTTTCCTTCCTTCCTTCGTTTTCCCTTCCCATCCTTCCCTCTCTTCCTTCCTGCTTCCTTCCTTCCTTCCTTCCTTCCTTTGTCCTGCTTTCCTCCTTCCCTTCCCTCTTTCCCACCTCTCCTCCCTCCTCTCCTGGAATCTTTCCTCTATCCTCCTTTCCTTCCTTCCTTCCTTCCTTCCTTTGTCCTCCCTTCCCGCCTTTCCCCCTCTCTTTTCCTCTCTCCTCCTTCCCTTCCCTTCCTTCCTTCCCTCTTTCCCTTCCTCTTCCTGACCTGGCTGGGCTTCCCGGTGGCCTTGGCCAGCTGCTCGGTGATCTCTCCGGTCAAGCTCTCCGGGATGCCTTCCGCCGCCACGTTGGTGTTCAGCACGAACATCGGCATCTTCCCCTGGAAGCGAGCGAGGAAGCAAAGGAGGAAGGAAGGAAGGAAGGAAACAGAAGCCCGCCTGGGTCGCAATGCAGCGCAATGGCAGGAAGGAAGGAAGGGAGGGAGGAAGGCAGTCTGTGCGTGCAAGCACGTAGCTGGCCAGGGCCGGAAGGGGGAGGGGCAGGGGAGGGGCGGACACGCCCCCTGGGGGGGGAGGGGACACACAGACACTCCCCCCGCGTCACGTGGGAAGGAGGGAGGGAAGGAGGGAGGGTTCAAACGAGGACAGCCTGGAAAAGGCAGACAAACAGGCAGACCCTCCTGGAGACCCAAGGCAGGGAAGAAGGAGAAGGAAGGAAGGAGAGCCCTCCCTCCCCTTGGCAGAGAGTTCCACTGCTGAACAGCTCTCCCAGTCAGCTTTCTAAACAAGCCCCTTGGTCTCCCATCGGATGTCCCTGTCCTCAAACACTCTCTGCTTCATTCAGAAGAATGCTGCACTCGCAGAGCTCAGGCAGTATTGTATTTCAGTCTCAATGTTGACATCTGTAGACAGTCCACATTTCACAGGCGCAGAGCAGGGTTGGGAGGGGAATAGCTTTATAGACAAGCCCCTTGGTCTCCCTTCGGATGTCCCGGTCCTCAAGCATTCTCTGCTTCATTCAGAAGAATGCTGCACTCGCAGAGCTCAGGCAGTATTGTATTTCAGTCTCAATGTTGACATCTGTAGACAGTCCACATTTCACAGGCGTAGAGCAGGGTTGGGAGGGGAATAGCTTTATCAACAAGCCCCTTGGTCTCCCTACGGATGTCCCTGTCCTCAAACACTCTCTGCTTCATTCGGGAAAATGCTGCACTCGCAGAGCTCAGGCGGTGTTGTATTTCAGTGTCGATGTTGACATCTGTAGACAGTCCACATTTCACAGGCGTAGAGCAGGGTTGGGAGGGGAATAGCTTTATAGACAAGCCCCTTGGTCTCCCTTCGGATGTCCCGGTCCTCAAACACTCTCTGCTTCATTCGGGAAAATGCTGCACTTGCAGAGTTCAGGCAGTATTGTATTTCAGTCTCAATGTTGACATCTGTAGACAGTCCACATTTCACAGGCGTAGAGCAGGGTTGGGAGGACAATAGCTTTATAGATAAGCACCTTGGTCTCCCTACGGATGTCCCGGTCCTCAAGCACTCTCTGCTTCATTCGGGAAAATGCTGCACTCTCAGAGCTCAGGCGGTGTTGTATTTCAGTGTCGATGTTGACATCTGTAGACAGTCCACGTCTCGCAGGCGTAGAGCAGGGTTGGGAGGAGAGTGGCTTTATCAACAATCCCCTTGGTCTCCCTATGGATGTCCCGGTCCTCAAGCACTCTCTGCTTCATTCGGGAAAATGCTGCACTCGCAGAGCTCAGGCGGTGTTGAATCTCAGTATCAATGTTGACTTTTGTGGAGAGGTGGCTGCCAAGGGAGCGGAAATGGTCAACATTTCATCTGGTGGACCATCATCCAGTCCAACCCCCTTCTGCCAAGAAGCAGGAATATTGCATTCAAATCACCCCTGACAGATGGCCATCCAGCCTCTGTTTCAAAGCTTCCAAAGAAGGAGCCTCCACCACACTCCGGGGCAGAGAGTTCCACTGCTGAACAGCTCTCCCAGCCAGGAAGTTCTTCCTCACGTTCAGGTGGGATCTCCTCTCTTGTAGTTTGAAGCCATTCCTCCTTTGCGTCCTAGTCTCCAGGGAAGCAGAAAGGAAGCTTGCTCCCTCCTCCTCCTCCCTGTGGCTTCCTCTCACATATTTATACATGGCTCTCATATCTCCTCTCAGCCTTCTCTTCTTCAGGCTAAACATGCCCAGCTCTTTAAGCCACTCCTCATAGGGCTTGTTCTCCACACCCTTGATCATTTGAGTCACCCTCCTCTGGACACATTCATAGAATCATGGAATCCTAGAATCCTCGAGTTGGAAGAGACCTGGTGGGCCATCATCCAGTCCAACCCCATTCTGCCAAGAAGCAGGAATATTGCATTCAAATCACCCCCGACAGATGGCCATCCAGCCTCTGTTTAAAAGCTTCCAAAGAAGGAGCCTCCACCACACTCCCTCCGGGGCAGAGAGTTCCACTGCTGAACAGCTCTCCCAGTCAGAAAGTTCTTCCTCATGTTCAGGTGGAATTTCCTTTCTTTCCTGTAGTTGGAAGCCATGTCTCCCTTGCATCCTGGTCTCCAGAGGTTGGAGATCTTCTTCTGGAAGTATAATTAGATATCAACCAAGGAATCCTTTTGGGAGAGGAATCAACAGCAGAAGAAATAAGTAATGAAAAGTAATGTATGGACTCAAGAGGCTGGGGGACCCAAGGCGGATGGACTGGATGGCCTTTGGGGGACCATCCCAACTCTCCCGTCCCATCTCTAGGATTCTATGAATCACCCGGTCAGAGACTAAGGCGGCCATTCTGTCCGTCTCTCCCTCTTTCTTTCCACTTTGGCCAAAGGAAAACCAAAAGTTGATGCAAGTTAATTGTTGACCCTTTCCAAGTTTGCAATTCATGCAATTTCTGGGCAGAAGTTGGCAGAGAATGCAGGAAGTGGGTTGACAAGGACCAATCAGAGAGCGGGAAGGGAGACTGCCCCTTTATTTATTTATTTATTTATTTGGGGTTCTTTTACCCTGCCCTTCTCACCCCGAAGGGGACCCAGGGCGGCTTACACAGTAAGGCACGATTCGATGCCGGCAACACAACAATCATCACAACTTACAGTAAAATTCACAATTACTAACATCATCATGCATTATTCCAATAAAAAATCAATAAAAATCAATAAAATCAATACAAACCTAGATTCCTCCCTTGCATTGTCAGTGTTTGCTGTCTCATAGATCCGTTTTTTAGTACCATTTCGTCCATCCTGCTAGTCTTTAATTGCCTGGTTGCCCAAAGGCCTGGTCCCATAACCAAGTTTTCACCCTCCTCCTGAAGGAGAGGAGGGATGGTGATGCTCTGATTTCCCCGGGGAGTGCGTTCCACAGGTGAGGGGCCACCACTGAGAAAGCCCTGCTCCTCGTCCCCACCAGCCTCACTTGTGAGAGTGGTGGGGTCGAGAGCAGGACCTCCCCAGATGATCTCAAGCTCCGAGGTGGGACGTAGAGGGAGATACGTTCGGACAGATACACTGGACCGGAACCGTACAGGGTTTTGTAGGTCAAAACCAGCACCTTGAATTGTGCTCGGAACTGAATCGGCAGCCAGTGGAGCTGGCACAGCAGGGGGGTGGTATGCTCCCTGTATGTCGCTCCGGTGAGCAATCTGGCTGCCGCTTGCTGGACTAGTTGAAGTTTCCGAACAGTCTTCAAGGGCAACCCCACGTAGAGAGCGTTGCAGTAGTCTATTCGGGATGTAACAAGAGCGTGGACCACCGTGGCCAGATCAGACTTCCCAAGGTACGGGCGCAACTGGCGCACAAGTTTTAATTGTGCAAAAGCTCTCCCGGCCACCGCCGAGACCTGGGGTTCCAGGCTCAGCGGTGAATCCAGGATCACTCCCAAGCTGCGAACCTGCGACTTCAGGGGGAGTGTAACCCCGTCCAGTACAGGCTGTAACCCTATACCCTGTTCGGCCTTACGACTGACCAGTAGGACCTCTGTCTTGTCTGGATTTAATTTCAATTTGTTAGCTCTCATCCAGTCCGACACAGCAGCTAGACACCGGTTCAAGGTCTGGACAGCCTCCTTGGTGACAGGTGGAAAGGAGTGACAGATCTGGACATCATCTGCATAGAGATAACATCGCAGCCCGAAACTCCGAATGATCTCTCCCAACGGCTTCATGTAGATGTTAAACAACATCGGGGACAGAATTGATCCCTGAGGGACTCCACATGACAATGGCTGTGGGGCCGAACAGGTGTCACCCAATAACACCTTCTGGGACCGACCCTCCAGAAAGGACCGGAGCCACTGCAAAGCAGTACCCCCAAGTCCCATATCTGTGAGGCGTCCCAGAAGGATACTGTGATCGACGGTATCGAAGGCCGCTGAGAGGTCCAGCAGAACTAACAGGGACACACTCCCCCTGTCTAGCTCCCTGCGAAGATCATCTACCAAGGTGACCAAGGCTGTTTCCGTTCCATGTCCCGGTCTAAAGCCAGACTGTGCCGGATCAAGATAATCAGTGTCTACCAGAAATCCCTGGAGTTGCGCTGCCACCACACGTTCCATGACTTTGCCCAAATAGGGGAGATTGGAAACTGGCCGATAGTTGTCTAATTGAGTGGGGTCCAGTGATGGTTTTTTCAACAGCGGTTTGATAATAGCTTGCTTTAAGCTCGCTGGAATCTTGCCCTCCTGCAAGGAGGCATTAACCACCACCTTCACCCACTCTGCCAAACCCCCTCTGGCTTCTTTTATCAGCCAGGATGGACAGGGGTCTAGGATGCATGTGGTGGGTCGCACCTCTCCAAGGATCCTGTCCACATCCTCAAGCTGAACCAATTGAAAGGAATCCAATAAGACCTGACAAGCAGATGCTCTCGTTACATCCTCAGAGACTGCAGATAAAGTGGTGTTGAAATCCGACCGGATCCGCCCAATTTTATCTGCGAAAAATCGAGCAAACGCTTCACAGCGAGCTCCCAAGCTGTCAGAAAGTAGTTCAAAACACACCTTGTCCAGCATTCGTTACTTAGGCATAGTAATAACGTTATCTACACCGATGTCTTTGAGCCGCTTTGAGTCCGCTTTAGGGAGATACAGCAAGGAATAAATACATAAAATAATAATAATAATAATATCTGTAGTTCAACTACATATCATTGTTTTCTTTTTGTAATTGCAGTTCCTTTTGTACGTTTCGTTTGGTATTATAATTACTCACATTTCCTTTTGCAACTATGATTATTCTTGAGTGGTTACTTTTGTGTTGTAGTTACTTGTCATTACTGTTGCTGCTACTTTTGTACCTTTAGTTTTATGATGTCGTTACTTACATTTCCTTTTTCAACAAATTTTTGGAATTGCAATTACTTTTGTACATTTCGTTTTGTATTGTAATTAATTACATTTCCCTTTGCAAATGCAGTTACTTTTGAGTAGTTACTTTTGCACATTTAGTTTTACAATGTTGTTACTTACATTTCCTTCAGCAACTGCAGTTACGTTTGAGCAGTTACTTTTGTATTAGTTACCTGTAATTACTATTGCTGTTACTTTTGCACATTTAGTTTTATGATGTCATTACTTACATTTCCTTTTGCAACAAGAGTTACTTTTCAGCAGTTGCTTTTATGTTATAGTTGTAATTATTGTTAGTTACTTTTATACATTTAGTTGTACGATGTTATCTACATTTCCTTTTGCAACAAGTTACTTTTCAGCAGTTACTTTTGTGTTAGTTACTTGTAAGCACATTTAGTTTTACAATGTCGTTACATTTCCTTTTGCAACAAGTTACTTTTGAGCCGTTACTTTTGTATTGTAGTTACTTGTAATTATTGTTACTGTTACTTTTACACATTTAGTTTTATGATGTTATTTACATTTCCTTTTGCAACAAGAGTTACTTGTCAGCAGTTACCTTTGTGTTAGTTACTTATAAGCATATTTATTTTTATGATGTTGTTACTTACATTTCCTTTTGCAACAAGAGTTACTTTTCAGCAATTGCTTTTAATGTTATAATTTATTGTAATTACTTTTGCAGTTACTTTTATATAATTAGTTTTACAATGTAGTTACTTACATTTCCTTTTGCAACTGCAGTTATTTGGGTAATTTGCAGTGTAATTAGTTGTAGTTACTTGTAGTTACTATCAGTAATTCTTTCGTGGTGGACAGACACAGATAGCAAGGATGCAAAGTAACTTAGAGAGCGAGAACAGTTGCTTTATTAACAAAAAATGGAAGCATATATTTGAATTTCTAGAAATAAGGAATTTTGGGGTCCAAAAATCTACCCCCCCCCCTCAATCCTTATAATTTGGTGCAGAAGGCGGGGGCGTCTGGGGCAGCGCTCGTTTCCAATTCCTTCTTGAAATTGATCTTGTCGAATTCCTTCCGGATTTCCATGATCGACTTCTCTTTGGTTTCCGGAAGGTAGAAGTAAACGAGGAAACCGGAGAGATACAAGACGGCCATGAGAAGCAGGAAGCAGAACTGGCCAAAGTGTTCCTGCAGAAAGGAGAAAAAGAGGAAAATTACATTCATAGTAAATCAATTGTTCTAAAAAAGTAAAATTAAAAAAAATATTTAATATTTTAAAACTATTTAAATTAAACCATTTTTCATATTTTAAATATTTTAAAATGTTTAATATTTTAAAATATTTAAATTAAATCATTTTTCATATTTTTTTAAAAAAACAATTAATTCTATTTTAAATTATTGAAATTTAAAATGGAATAAAAAATTAAAAACAAGGAAATTAACCAAACTTAAAATATTACATAGAAAAATTAAATTCATATTAAATCATTTTTTAAAAAAGTAAATATTTTAAAATATTTAATATTTTAAAAATATTTAAATTAAATCATTTTTCATATTTTTTAAAAAAAACAATTAATTCTATTTTAAATTATTGAAATTTAAAATGGAATAAAAAATTTAAAAACAAGGAAATTAACCAAACTTAAAATATTACATAGAAAAATTAAATTCATATTAAATCTTTTTTTAAAAAAAGTAAATATTTTAAAATATTTAATATTTTAAAAATATTTAAATTAAACCATTCTTCATATTTTTAAAAAAATGTTTAATTCTATTTTAAATTATTAAAATGAAAAATGGAAAAAAATCTAAAAACAAGGAAATTAACCGAACTTAAAATATTACATAGAAAAATTAAATTCATATTAAATCTTTTTTTAAAAAAGTAAATATTTTAAAATATTTAATATTTAAAAATATTTAAATTAAACCATTCTTCATATTTTTAAAAATGATTAATTCTATTTAAAATTATTGAAATTAAGAATGGAATAAAATTTAAAAATAAAGAAATTAACTAAAATTAAAATATGACATAGAAAAATTATATTCATATTAAATCTTTTTTTAAAAAAGTAAATATTTTAAAAATGCTTAATATTTTAAAAATATTTAAATTAAATAATTCATTTTTTAAAAAATGATTAATTCTATTTTAAATTATTGAAATTACATTTTTAAAAAGTAAATATTTTAAGTACATTTAATATTTAAAAATATTTAAATTAAATCATTCATATTTTTTTAAAAAATGATTAATTCTATTTTAAATTATTGAAATTAAAAATGGAATAAAAAAATTAAAACAAGGAAATTAACCAAACTTAAAAAAATTAAATTAATATTAAATCAATTTTTTAAATGTAAATATTTAAAAATATTTAATATTTAAAAATATTTAAATTAAATCATTCCTAATATTTTTTAAAAAAATGATTAATTCTATTTTAAATTATTGAAATTAAAAATGGAATAAAAAATGTAAAAACAAGGAAATTAACCGAACTTAAAATATTACATAGAAAAATTAAATTCATATTAAATCAAATTTTTAAAAAGTAAATATTTTAAAAATGTTTAATATTTTTAAAATATTTCAATTAAATCATTCTTAAAATTTTAAAAAAATATTAATTCTATTTTAAACTATTAAAATTAAAAATGGAATAAAATTTTAAAAACAGGGAAATTAACTGAACTTAAAATATTAAATTGAAAAATTAAATTCATATTAAATCAATTGTTTTAAGAAAGTAATTTTTTTAAAAAAATAATATTTTAAAAAAATATTTAAATTAAACCATTCTTCATATTTTAAAAAAATATGATTAATTCTATTTTAAATTATTGAAATTAAAAGTGGAATAAAAATTTAAAAACAAAGAAATTAACCGAACTTAAAATATTACATAGAAAAAACAAATTCATATTAAATCAATTTTTTAAAAAGTAAATATTTTAAAAATATTTAAATTGAACCATTTTTCATATTTTTTTTAAAAAAATGATTAATTCTATTTTAAATTATTGAAATTAAAATTTTAATAAAAATCTAAAAATAAGGAAATTAACCGAACTTAAAATATTACATAGAAAAATAAAATTTGGTATTAAATTAATACAGATTTCAAAACTTAATTTAAGTGGATAAAAAATGTTAAAAATTTAATTAATGGTTTAATGTTTTAAATAAGGCCAGGTATAAGTAAGCCACTTTCCCCAAGTGGAAGGCAAAAGGAAGAGGGGCCGACCAAGGGCAAGATGGATGGATGGCATCCTTGAAGTGACTGGACTGACCTTGAGGGAGCTGGGGGTGGTAACGGCTGACAGGGAGCTCTGGCGTGGGCTGGTCCATGAGGTCACGAAGAGTCGGAGACGACTGAACGAATGAACAACAACAATAAGTAAGCCTAAGAATAGTGGTTCTGACTGTAGGAATGGCACAGGTACGAGCCCCTTACTTACCACAATGAAGGGGAAGACCATCCCGATGACGAGGGTCCCGACCCAATTCAAGACTGCGCTGAAGACGAAGGAGGAGGGTCTCGAGGCCTGGTCAAAGATCTCCATGCGGACGGACGCCGTGGCCCCTGCTGTGGACCCAAGTGGGAGAAGAGGGCTGGGAAGGGAAGGGGCCCCCAGGGGTCATCTAGCCCACCCACCCACCCCTGGGAGCGGGGCGCAGCAGCGCAAATGCCCAATGCAACCCTAGTCCATAGCGCCTAGGCCAGGCAACTTCGGCCCTCCTTCCCTCCAGGTGTTTTGGACTACAACTCCCACAATTCCTAACAGCTGCTAATAATACTATAATAATAATAAAAATAATAATATAAAATATTTTTTAAAATAATAGAATAATAATAGTACATAAAACAAGATAATATTATATTATTATTGTACAAAATTGTAATATATAATAATATAAACAATAATAAAATAACAACCGTAAAAATATAATATTATCATATCATAATAAAAATCTTTATATCGATTTAGGACTGCTTGTATGTTTCTATCAAAGCCCTACCTCCTGCATCTTGTTCATGCCTAGCATTATTTTTTAAACTTTAATTACATTTGGCCCAGCCATAGATTTTAATTGTGCACTGTATTTTGTTTAATGTTTATGCTTTTTGTGTTATGAGATTTATTTTAATTGCTTTGTATTGTATTGTTATTGCTTGTATTGCTTGTATTGTTGTATGTGGGCTCAGCCTCATGTAAGCCACACTGAGTCCCTTGGGGAGATGGTAGCGGGGTATAAATAAAGTATTATTATTATTATTATTATTATTATTATTATTATTATATGATATAAAATGTTGTAAAATGAGAGCGCTGACCTGGTCCCATCCCGAACGAGAAGACAAAGCCAAAAATGAGGCCAAGGCTGCAGTAAGGAATCCAAGGCTGCAAATGCTATCAAGAAGAGAAGAAAATGGATTTTATATATATATATATATATATATATATATATATATATATATATTATTATAATCACTTATATAAATATAGCTGCTTTGAGTCTCCTATGTGGAAAGAGAAAGTGGGTTGTAAATAAAATAATAATAATAATAACATAATAATAATAATAATAAATATACAATATAATATATACTAATATATATTATAATAATAGCAGTAATAATAATTTAAATTTTATGCTGATGCTTTTATGTTAAGCCACTTTGGGAGAGATAAAACAGGGTGTAAATAATAATAATATTATAATATTATAATATTATTATAATATATATATATATATATTATAATATATATATAATATTATAATATATATATATATATATATATATAATAATATTATAAGTGATTATAATATTGTATTATTATAATCACTTATATAAATATAGCTGCTTTGAGTCTCCTATGTGGAAAGAGAAAGTGGGTTGTAAATAAAATAATAATAATAATAACATAATAATAATAATAATAAATATACAATATAATATATACTAATATATATTATAATAATAGCAGTAATAATAATTTAAATTTTATGCTGATGCTTTTATGTTAAGCCACTTTGGGAGAGATAAAACAGGGTGTAAATAATAATAATATTATAATATTATAATATTATTATAATATATATATATATATATATTATAATATATATATAATATATATATATATATATATATATATATATATATATATATTATAAGTGATTATAATATTGTATTATTATAATCACTTATATAAATATAGCTGCTTTGAGTCTCCTATGTAGAAAGAGAAAGTGGGTTGTAAATAAAATAATAATAATAATAACATAATAATAATAATAATAATAAATATACAATATAATATATACTAATATATATTATAATAATAGCAGTAATAATAATTTAAATTTTATGCTGATGCTTTTATGTTAAGCCACTTTGGGAGAGATAAAACAGGGTGTAAATAATAATAATATTATAATATTATAATATTATTATAATATATATATATATATATTATAATATATATATAATATTATAATATATATATATATATATATATATAATAATATTATAAGTGATTATAATATTGTATTATTATAATCACTTATATAAATATAGCTGCTTTGAGTCTCCTATGTAGAAAGAGAAAGTGGGTTGTAAATAAAATAATAATAATAATAACATAATAATAATAATAATAAATATACAATATAATATATACTAATATATATTATAATAATAGCAGTAATAATAATTTAAATTTTATGCTGATGCTTTTATGTTAAGCCACTTTGGGAGAGATAAAACAGGGTGTAAATAATAATAATATTATTATTAATAATAATAATATACTACAATAATATTAGAGATGGGATCCATGCAGGCAAAGGCCCATCGCCCACACCTGGCTCACCTGTAAGGAGAGGGTCAAGGTGAGTCCGGCCAGGACGGTGGCCATGACCCAGTATCCGCCCCACAGCAAGACCCGGCGCCCAAACCGCTCAATGACAGCACTCTGCAGACATAATAACATAAGAATAGAATACACACCTAATATAATAGGAATGTAATGATATAATATAATAATAATAATAATAATAATAATAATATAAAAATAATGACATGTGAATATATATTATAATATAGTTAAATAGTATAATAATATTATAATAGTACAATACAAAAACAATCATAATATAATAGACATATAATACAATATTAATGTAATAATAGTCATGTAATAATATATGACAGATGATATGTGATAATATAATATATAATAATGTAGTTAAATAATATAATAATAGTATTGTAATATTATAATAAAATAATAGGTGGTTGTAGGTTTTTCGGGCTGTATGACCATATTCTAGAAGCATTCTCTCCTGACATTTCGCATGCATCTCACAACATCTGAGGATGCCTGCCATAGATGCAGGCGAAACGTCAGGAGAGAATGCTTCTAGATCTAGAACATGGCCACACAGCCCGAAAAACCTACAACATCCCAGTGATACCGGCCATGAAAGCCTTCGACAATACAATATAATAATAGATAATGATATGTGATAATATAATACATACTAATGTAGCTAAATAGTATAATAATAAAATAGTATGATATAGAAGCAACAATAATAAAATAATGAATAATATACACATAATGTAATATTAATGTCATACTAGTAATCTATATAAATAAAAATGTCATGTTTGTTTGTGGGATTAACAGAACTCAAAAGCCACTGGACGAATTGACACCAAATTTGGACACAAGACACCTAACAGGCCAATGAGTGTCCTTCACTCAAAAATGATTTTTTCATTTGGGAGTTGTAGTTGCTGGGATTGTTCACCTACAATCACAGAGCATTCTGAACCCCACCAACGATGGAATCGAACCAAACTTGGCACACAGTTCTCCTATGACCAACAGAAAATACTGGAAGGGTTTGGCGGGCAGTGTCCTTTGGTTTGGGAGTTGTTGTTCACCTACATCCAGAGTTCACTGTGGACTCAAACAATGATGGATCTGGAACAAACTCTACATGAATACTCAATATGCTCAAATGTGAACACTGGTGGAGTTTGGGGAAAATAGACTTCACATTTGGGAGTTGTAGTTGCTTGGATTTATAGTTCACCTACAATCAAATTGATGGGGAGATATTGGAAATATAGAGATTTATTTATGTATAAATTGTATATACTTTACAAGCACTGAAATGTATAGAAAAATCAAGTTCTCTCTGTATCAGAAACCCAAGCTGACCGGACAAGCAAGCTGCGTCCAGGCACAGCAAGAGGGAGGTGAACATTCCAGGGGGGAGATAAGCCCGTCCTAGTAGCAACAGAGACTGGTACAACATAGCCCAGCATCTTCCTTCTAAGTAAGGGGCCTATCTCTCCCTCCTGACAGGTCAAAGTAGGCCCCTTGATTGATGAGTGTAAGCTGTAAGCTGTATGCTGCTCTTTAGAAAGAAATACAGAGACATTCCTTTCGCATGCTGGAAGATAGAATTTGATATTCCTATGTTGCTAAAGTGATGCACTGAATGATGTCAATCTATGTAGAAGCATGTTTCTTTGTTTGCCTGCAGTGGAAGTGTATAAAAGGCAGTCAACGCCTTCATCGGGCACTCTGGTTGCTTTTGGACACAGCTCCACTCCAGGGTCCCAGCTGGAAATAAAACCGTGCTTTTTCAGACCTCAGGAACTCTCCTTGTCTCTTTTCCTCAAATCTTCTCCCTGCCATTTAAACAGAGCATTCCGAACCCCACCAATGACAGAATTGGGCCAAACCTCCCACACAGAACCCCCATATGGGCCACAGCAACGCGTGGCAGGGGACGGCTAGTATATAATAAATAGGCATAATATCGTATCATATGATATAATACAATTGCACTGGCCACCTGCCCCCAAATACTCCTGATATGGGAGGGGATGATGGGGACTCACGCAGAGGAGGGCCGAGAGCAGCTCGAAGGCGCTGAGGCCCATGGACAAGGAGGGGATGTCGTCCTCTTGGAACCCGACCGCGCTCAGGACCTCGAAGGTGTAGCTGTAGATCTGCGGAGGGAAGGAACAGGTGCCGGGCAGTCCACGGCGGAGGGGTCACTCCAGGTCACCGCCCCCCAAGCCTGACCTGGCCTGACCCCGGACTCAACTGCCTGAATGCCGCTCAGCTGGACGCCCGCGGTCAGCAGGATCAGCAGGCAGAGCTGCCGGCGGTGGGACCGCTCCCGGAACAAAGACCAGCAGGCCCGGGGACCTCCCGCCGAGGAGCAGGTGACACCGCTGGCCTTCTGCCGCCAAAGGTCCTCCATCTCCTCCTGGATCCGCCATGGCTTCCCTGCGCCCCAATAGGCCTCCATGGCTGAAGGAAGGAGGGGGGAAAGTTGCATCAGATCACATTTTGACCCATTCATTATATTATTATTATTATTATTATTATTATTATTATTATTATTATTATTGAAGTTGAACATGACCCCCTCCCCCATAAAACATAGTAACTTATAGTTTTGCTAAGGACAAGGACACCAGACTGGATAATAAGGGTTAAGCCTTGGTCAGTTTGCCAAGACACTAACAACAACAAGGACCCTTTCCATGTGAGATACTAGTGTGTACATTTAATCAAGGTGTTATGCCCTAGGTTTCATATATAGCAGAAGGTAGCACATTTATTACTGAGAAACCCCCTCCCTTTACACTTATGTACTCTCTTGAACTTCTATGGGACTCTGGTGGGAGGGAGAAGTGGGTCTGTTTTCTATAACATGATTTCTATATTTCTATATTTCCCCCTGTGTACCTGACCTTTTCCTGACCCTCTTGCCCAATTCCCCTTTATTGAAAAATATATAAAAATACAAGGCAGCCACCCTTGCGTGACCCTGGAAAGGAGGAAATCCTCAGTTGGAAAAGACCCTGATCAAAAGACACTATTTGCATGGACAATAACAAAGGACCGTGACCTCTGGCCTCGGAGTTGGCCCCCCAGGGGAAGCAGTCACTTGGCATTTATGATCATATCTCAACAGGACAAAGGAAGCCTTCAGAAAGCCACGCTTTGTCCTAATCTGTTACTGATTCAACTTTTATTCACTGAAACCACAGCCAAGATTCCCTCATTGTTTCTGTGTCTCAGCACTGGAAAAATCCGGATTATGGCAGGCCTGCCAGACAATCAACGTTTATTGCAGCCATTCAAGGACAATAGCAAAGGCTAGCTCGCAGGCCCTTGGGACTTGCTGGTCACTTGGACATCTCAAAATCTCCATAATCCACTCAAGAATGCATTGTTTCCCCTCGTCCCGCCTCCCTCTCTCCTGATTCGTCATGACACCGAGGCAGCAGAAACCCAACAATTGGCCCAGGCACTCAGGAGGCGGTCAAGCCTCCTCCCAGCTGTAGAGCGCCAGCAAATTATCGTCGAGCCGGAAGAGGAGCGGGGAATGGGAGATTCAAACCTGGCAATTCTGTTTTATGTATAAAAAGGCCTTTATTTTTGTACACTGTATGCTTAGCTTGGCAAAATATTACTGCTCTGCATGCTTTTCAGCTGAATCGCAATAACATCGTCTTGGTGGCGCTTCCTTCAACTTTGGTGAGATTCTTTTGGGAACTTGGGGAAAAATCTTTGATATTGCGGCTTCTCTTGCTGACCATTGTAGTGAGCCCTTTTTGGTGGGTCCGCAGGGTCTCTCCTTCAGGGCCAGACCCTTTTAAATTCCTCCATGATTTCATTATTATTATTATTATTATTATTATTATTATTATTATTATTATTCTATTATTACATTATATTATACTATTATTTGACAAGCTGGAACGTGTCCAGAGGAGAGCGACTAAAATGATAAAAGGTCTGGAGAACAAGCCCTATGAGGAGCGGCTAAAGGAGCTGGGCATGTTTAGCCTGAAGAAGAGAAGGCTGAGAGGGGATATGATGAGAGCCATGGATAAATATGTGAGAGGAAGCCACAGGGAGAGAGGAGGGAGCAAGCTTCCTTTCTGCTTCCCTGGAGACTAGGACGCAATGGAGGAATGGCTTCCAACTACAAGAGAGGAGATTCCATCTGAACATGAGGAAGAACTTCCTGACTGTGAGAGCCGTTCAGCAGTGGAACTCTCTGCCCCGGAGGGAGTGTGGTGGAGGCTCCTTCTTTGGAAGCTTTGAAACAGAGGCTGGATGGCCATCTGTCAGGGGTGATTTGAATGCAATATTCCTGCTTCTTGGCAGAATGGGGGTGGACTGGATGGCCCAGGAGGTCTCTTCCAACTCTTTGATTCTAGGATTCTATGATTCTATTTTATTATTGTATTACATTATTATATAATATATCATCACATATCAAAAATAATAGTATTGTATTGTGTGATGTGGCAGCATAAAAGGCCAGCGTCCGCTCCGGTTTTCAGTCCCAATCCCCCAGTGGCTGACCTTCCCGGCTGCGCTGCTCGTCTCCTCGACACAAGAAGAGGTCGGGCGGAGACTCCGGGAAGAAGGGCAGCGTCAGGAGCTGGACCAAGGCCGGGAGGCCGCTGAAGGCCATCAGGAAGGGCCAGCGGTCAGCCGAGCCCAGGACCTCCCTGCAGGCATTGAGACAGAGAGACAATAGCAAGACCCATCATCCCTGCATGCATCTAGAATGCATGACCCATATGGAGTTGGACTAGAATGGGGGGCAATGGGGCCTCTGCTGCCCTTACCTCTGTCCGGTCACCTGTCCGCAGACCTTCCCCAAACTCCAGAAAGTGGAGGCGGTGGCATTGGCGAAGCCCCGGAGGGATTTCGGGGAGACCTCCCCCAGGTACTGCGGGTGCAAGGGGATCCCCAGCCCTGAGGACAAGAACATTCATATACCGATGTAATATAATATAATATAAATACATATATATGCATATAATATAATATAATATAATATAAATACATATATATGCATATAATATAATATAATATAATATAAATACATATATATGCATATAATATAATATAATATAATATAATATAATATAATATAAATACATATATATGCATATAATATAATATAATATAAATACATATATATGCATATATAATGTAAATATAATGTAATATATTATCATATTTATTCATTTATTTTATTTATTGACAGTATTTACATTCCGCCCTTCTCACCCCACAGCAGGGGACTCAGGGCGGATTACAATGTACATGTACATGGCAAACATTCAGTGCCATAGACACGCAACATATATAGACAGACACACAAAGGCAATTTTTTCTGGCCACTAGGGGAGCTGTTGCTTCAACGTCCATCCGCAACACTGATGAAGTACTTCCTCGTTCCCCGCATGCTTGCTGGAGATTTTTATGGCCTCATAAATGTGTGTGTGTGTGTATATATATATATATAAACAAACACACACACACACATTATGTGATATGACCTGAATCCCCTTCGAGGTTGAAATATAAATACCGCAAATAAAATTATATATATATATAATTTTATTTATATTTCAACCTCGAAGGGGACTCAGGTCATATCACATAACACATATACAAACATATACAGCAAACATATACGGCAGACAATTGTACACAGATAGAGGTATATATAAGCTTTTCTCATATTCGGCATCTTGGAGGTTTATACTCTGTTCCGGCCACAGGGACATGTTGTCGCTCCACTTTCCCTGCCAAAGAGCTTTGTTTGTAAACTTCCTCCTAGATCAAATCGCCTTCGTATTTTGGCATTTCCTTATGGGAAATACCTCCCTGCTATTTATCTACTCACATTTTGCTTTCAAATTGCTAGGTAGGCAGAAGCTGGGCTAAAGGCCAGGAGCTCACCCCAACCCGGGCTTCAAACTGTCAACCTTTCGATTGGCAAGATTTACTGCAGCTTGCGGTTAACCTGCTGTGCTAAATATATATTATAATGTATATAAATATAATATATATATACATAATATATATAATATAAATAATATATATTATAATATATAAAAAATATAATAATATATAATATATATGTATAATATATATATATTTATGCGATATAATATATAATATATATACATAATGTATATAATATAAATAATATATATTATAATACATATAAAATATAATAATATAATATATATATGTATATGTATATAATATAAAGTATATAATAATATAGAAAATATTATTATATATAATTATATAATATATACAGTATATAATAATATATAAAATATATGTATAATATATATATGTGATATAATATATAATATATAATATATATATATATTATATTATATATATTATATAAATAATATATATTATAATATACAGTATATTCTGGCGTATAAGACTACTTTTTAACCCAAGAAAATCTTCTCAAAAGTCAGGGGTCGTCTTATACGCGGGTGTAGTCTTATGCATGGGAGTTGTCTTAACTCAATATTTTAACTGGAAAAGTTGGGGGTCGTCTTATACGCTCAGTCGTCTTATATGCCGGAATATACGGTATATGCATAATATGTATATGATATAATATATTATAATATATATATAATATATAATAATATATAAAATATATGTATAATATACATATGTGATATAATATATAATATAATACATATACATAATGTATATAACATAAATAATATATATTATAATATATATAAAATATAATAATCTATATATATAAATTTGTTAGGGGCATCCAAAACGGCAAAACAACAAAACTCAAAAATCCCCCAACGAAACTTAACCAAAATCCCCGTGCCCATAACACAACCCACAAGGTACAAACATATCTACTCAAAATGAAAAACAACACAACAACACACTCACAAAATGGCAAAAGAACAAAACTCAAAAAAACCCCAACGAAACTTAACCAAAATTCCCATGCCCATAACACAACCCACAAGGTACAAACATATCTACTCAAAATGAAAAACACAACAACACACTCACAAAACGGCAAAACAACAAAACTCAAAAAAACCCAACGAAACTTAACCAAAATTCCCATGCCCATAACACAACCCACAAGGTACAAACATATCTACTCAAAATGAAAAACAACACAACAACACACTCACAAAACGGCAAAACAACTGAGCATGCGCATTGGCACCCAGCCGCAAGTTCCCTGGCGCGCGCACACGGCCTTCCGGCCAACGTTCCCTCTGCGGAAACCATGCCCACTCCAAGCCCCGCCGCGCCGCTTCCCGCACACACACCCCCCTGCCGCACACACACACACAACCCCACACTCCATCACTCCCCCCGCCGCCGCACACACACACGCAACCCCACTCCCCCCGCCGCCGCACACACACACGCAACCCCACTCCATCACTTCCCCCGCCGCCGCACACACACACGCACCCACCCCCCCGCCCGCCGCACACACACACGCAACCCCACGCTCCATCACTCCCCGCGCGCACACACACACGCAACCCCACGCTCCATCACTCCCCCCCGCCGCACACACACACGCAACCCCACCCTCACTCCCCCCGCCGCCGCACACACACGCAACCCCACGCTCCATCACTTCCCTGCCCCAATCTTACCTCCTTTTACTTCACGCCACCTCCAAACCCCCCCCCCCCCCCTCCCCCCCCGTCAAAATCAGGAAGGAAGGAAGGAAGGAAGGAAGGAAGAGAAAGGGAGGTAAAGAAAAAGGGGGAAGGAAGGAAAGTTAGAGGAAGAAGAAAAGGAAAGAAAAGGAAAGATGGAAGGAAAGAAAAGACAGCAGAAAAGAAAGAAAAAGGGGGAAGGAAGGAAAGAGATAGAGAAAGAAGAGAAGGAAAGATGGGAGGGAAGGAAGGAAGGAAGGAAGGAAGGAAGGAAGGAAGGAAGGAAGGAAGGAAGGAAGGAGAGAAAGAGGGAAGATTGGCCACAGCAATGCGTGGCGGGTAAAGGTTGTTATTTCTATTATTATGATGATGCTATTATTATTCCTCTGAGACCCTTTTAGGGGGAATGGGAGAGGTGTCAGGTCCCAGAGGCAATGCACTGCATTATTGTTATTGTTATGATGGTGGTGAAATAAAAGAAAATAAAAAGAGAAAGAAGGAACCAAACAGGGAGGGAAGAAAGGCAAAGGAAGAAAGGGGGAGGGAATGAAGGAAAGAGAGAAGGATGAAACCAAGTAGTGAAAGAAGGAAAGAAAGAGGTAGAGAAGGAAGAAGGGAGAGAAAGGGGGAGGAAAAGGGGGAAGGACTAGGTAGGTACCTCTCTTTCATAATAGTCCAGATATCTACCTCAACTTTGATAAGTTTTACTATAGGCCACAGCAACGCGTGGCAGGGCACAGCTAGTATAATATATATGTATGTATAATATGTATATAAAGTATATAATAATGTATAAAATATATGTATAATATATATATGTGATATAATATATAATATATTATATATATTATATAAATTATATATATATTATATTATATATATTATAATATATTATAATATATATAAAATATATTATTTATTTATTTATTTATTTATTCTATATAAATTATATATAAAATATATGTGATAGAATATATAATAATATATAAATATATTATATATATAATATAAATAATATATATTATAATATATATAAAATATTAAATATATTAATGTATAATATGTATATAATATGTTATAATATATATCAATATATATTTTATATTATATCTCTATATCTATATCGGCCTTCCTCACCAACGCAGAATCCGCACAGGAAGCGTCCGGCGAGGATCAGCTCGAAGGAAGCGGCCCACCGGCTGGAGGCGAGCAGCAGAGAGGCGGCCAGCATCGCAAGGTTGTTGCCCAGAAGGCACTTCTTCCTAGGAAGACAAAAGGTTCTGGGTTCGACTCTTTCTCCTTTCGGGGAAAGAATGGATTCCGTTGACAAAGGGAGAATAGGACGACTTACTTGCCGTATTTGGTGGCCAAGTAGCCGCTGAGGATGGAGCCCAAGAGGCCCCCGAAGGCGAAGATGGAGACGACCAAGGACCAGAGGAAAGTGAGGGTCTCGGGGGGGACGGGGTCCCGGAAAGTGGAATTGAGGAAGGCCTTCACGTGCTGCAAGAAATGGAAGAACAGAAGAAGGGAAGGGAGAACGAAAAGAAATAAAAGGTGAATGAGCAAACAAAAGAAAGAAAACAAAAACAAAAGAATGGAAGAACAAGTGAAAGAAAAAACAAAATAAGGAATGAAAGAAACAAGAAAAAGAGCAAAAATGAAGGAAATAAAGAATTAACTATTATTATGATATGTATTATATTTATTTATACTTGTTTATATGTATTATATTTATTTATCTCTCCCGAAGGAGACTCGAAGCAGCTTATAATTAAAAGTATGACCACATCATTCATAATATACAAATATGCAAATATTAAAATGCAATTAATCATAGCAGTATTTTTAAACATCACCGTTAAAAACCATTAAAACATATCCAAAGCTAAAAATCCCAAGCAAAAGAGAGAAATAAAAACAAATGAAGGGAAGAAAGAATGTACAAACGAAAAAAGTAAACAAAGGATAAAGGAACGACATAACAAAAGAAAGAAACAATTTAATAAAAAAGAATGAACAAGCAAAAGAAAGAAAGAACAAAAAAGGAAAGAAAGAAACAAGAGAAAGAGCAAGAAGGAATAAAAGAAAGAAAGAGCAAGAAGGAAAAGAAGGAAAGAAACAAAAATGAACAAATGAAGGAAAAAACAAAGGAAAGAAAGAAAGAAAAGAAATTAACAAAAGAAGGAAAGAATGAAAGAATGAAAAAACAAAAGGAAGGAAGAACAAATAAAAGAAAGGACAAATGAAAGGAAGATCAAAGAATAAAAAAGAAAGAACGAACAAATGAAAGAAAGAAAAAAATGAATGAAAGAAAGAACAAATTAAAGAACAAATGTATAGTATTTATACTATTATACATTATTATATTTTTTATAATTATTCTAATTTATATATTTATTATTGCTACATAAAACTATTGTATTTATTATAACCATCATTATTTATAGTATACATTATATATAAGTGTGTGTGTGTGGGGGGGGGTCATATTTATTATAACCATTCTATTTACTACGTATCATATTTATCATTATTTATAGTATTATACATTATGTGTGTGTGTGTGTGTGTGTGTGTAAAACATATATTTTATACAAAAATATAATAGAAAACAAATGAAAGAAAGAATAAAGGAACAAAAGAAAAAGAAAGAACGAACAAACGAAAGAAAAAAGAACAAAAAGGAAAAAAACAAATGAAAGAAAGAATAAAAGAACCAAATAATGAAAGCAAGAAAATAAACAGCAAGAATGTATAAAAAGAAAGGAAGGAAGGAAGAAAAGAAAGAAAGAAAAGAAAAGAAAGAACGAGAAAAATAACGGAAGGAAGGAAGGAATGCATTGAGGCTGACCTTAGGTGACCCCAAGCCAGACCTCCCATTAGGAGTAATGGGGGAAGCGTGACCTCCTTACTGGGGAAGTGAAGGTGATCATGGAGACCTGGAACCCGGCCTGGAAGGTCCCTCCAATCCCGAGGACAAGGATCATTTGGAGGAGCTTCCGGTACTGGATCTATTGGGAAGAGAATTGATCGACTGGTGATCCATCAGCCCATTTGCATCCCCCCCCCCAAAGAGGCCAAAGGGCTACTCACTGCGTCCCAAAATGAAGAAGTAGAGGAAGAGGGGGGCATTTTGGCCCTGGGGTGACTTGGGGTCAGGTCGGGGGTCCGAGTGTCCAGTTGTCCGGCTGGTGGTCAGCGTCCCTCTGGACGTAGCAGAGAGATGGAGAAGGGTTAATGTTTCCTGGGAAGTGGATGATGCGGTCCGATGGGTCAGTCGCTGGACCGGAAAAACCTTAATTCTGATTAAAAGGAGCTATTAACCATTATAAAGGTGGATAGATATATCTGGGGAAAGGTGGGATGAAAGCAAATGACATCATCATCACCACTATCACCACCACCATCACCACTAACATCACCACCATAATCACCACCACCACCATCACCACCACCACCACCATCACCATCACCACCACCATCATCACCACCACCACCACCATCCCTAGCATCACCACCACCACCATCATCACCACCATCACCATCACCATCACCACCACCACCATCACCACCACTACCATCATCACCATCACCACCATCACCACCACCACTACTATCATCACTACCACCACCATCATCATTACCTTGGTTACATGTATTATCATTGTATTTATTATAACTATTCTCCTTATTCTTATATTTATTATTGCTATAGAAAATTATTGTATTTATTATAATTGTCCTATTTATCATTATTTATAGTATTATACATTATTATTTTTATTATAACTAATCTTATTATATTTATTATTGCTATAGAAAATTATTGTATTATAATTATTCTATTTATCATTATTTATAGTATTATACATTATAATTTTTATTGTAACTATTCTTATTCTTATATTTATTATCGCTATATAAAATTATTGTATTTATTATAATTATTCTATCATAATTTATAGTATTATTATTATGTTTATTATAACTATTCTTATTCTTATATTTATTATCGCTATATAAAATTGTATTTATTATAATTGTCCTATTTATCATTATTTATATTATTATACATTCTTATTTTTATTGTAACTATTCTTATTCTTATATTTATTATTGCTATAGAAAATTATTGTATTTATTATAATTATCCTATTTATTATTTATAGTATTATACATTATTTTTATTATAACTATTCTTACTTATATTTATTATGCTATAGAAAATTATTGTATTTATTATAATTATTCTATTTATCATTGTTTATAGTATTATACATTATTATTAATATTATAACTATTCTTATTCTGATATTTATTATTGCTATATGAAATTATTATATTTGTTATAACCATTCTATTAATTATATTTATTGTTATTTATAGTATTATATATTTTAATTTTTATTATAATCATTCTTATTCTTATATTTATTATTGCTATGTAAAATTATTGTATTTATTATAATTATCCTATTTATCATTATTTATAGTATTATACATTATTATTTTTATTATAACTATACTTATATTTATTATCGCTATATAAAATCATTGCATTTATTATAATTATTCTATTTATTTTATCTATCATTATTTATAGTCTTATACATTATATATATATGTGTGTGTCATATTTATTATAAACATTCTATATAGTATTATATATTAACCATTCTATTTATAGTATAGTATTATATATTATATATATTTGTGTGATATTTATTATATTTACTATCTTGGGTCCCCGTCGTTGGCCAGGTTATCTGAAAATGTCAATTTTTTAATTATACAAAATGCATAAGGCTTTGGGTGAACTACAACTCCCATCATGCCAGGTTCACTCCCTCAGTGCTTAAAGTTTGTTATGTTGGGCAAGTTTGTTCTAGGTGCATTGTTGGTGGGACTCAGTCTGCTCTCTGGCCTTAGGGTAAACTACAACTCCCACTATGGCGAATCAGTCCCCTCAAACCGTTCCAGTAGGCTGAGTTGGTTGTGGGGCTTCTATGTGCCAAGTTTGGTCCGGGTCCATCATCGGTGGACGTCGCAGTTGCTCTGGTTGCAGGTGAACTACAACTCCCAGAAAGGAAGGCCAGTTATCCCCAAACCCTTCCAGTAATCAAATTTCAGCATATCGGGTATGTGTGCTTAATTTGGTTCAGATCCATTGTTGTTTGGGGTCATAGTGCTCTCTGGATGTAGGTGAACTACAACTCCCTCAAATCAAGGTGAATTGTCCCAAAAGACCTCCAGTATTTTTAGCTGACCATGGGGGGCTCCGTGTGCCAAGTGCGGTCCAATTCCATCTTTGGTGGAGTTCAGAGTGCTCCTTGATTGCAGGTGAACTATACATCCCAGGACCTACAACTCCAAAATGCCCAGGCCAATGTTGGTTGTTTATCTCTACATTTGTTTATTTGTTTATGGTTTGATTGTTTTTTTCCAGTTTGCAAATTTGTAGCTCTGTCACTGTTGTAAACGCTGAGGAAAATGTTGCCAAACAAAAATGTGCATATGTGTGTATATGTGTGTGTGTGTATGTGTGTTGGTTATATATGTGTGTGCGTGTGTATGTGTGACTGTTATACATATGTGTGTATATGTGTTTATATGTGTGGATGAATATATATATATATATGTGTGTGTGTGTGTGTGTATGTTTGTATATGTGTGTATATATGTGTGTGTGTACATGTATATATGTTTATATGTCTGTAACATATATGTGTGCATATTTGTGAGTGTATATATATATGTGTGTGTTTGTGTGTGAGTGTATATATATATGTGTATATATATGTGTTTATATGTGTGAATGCATATATTGTGTGTGTGTGTATGTGTGGCTGTTATACATATGTGTGTATATGTGTTTATATGGGTGGATGAATATATATATATGTATGTGTATGTTTGTATATATGTGTGTACATGTGCATGTATATATGTTTATGTGTCTTTTACATATATGTGTGCATGTGTGTGTATATATATGTGTTTGTGTGCCTATGTGTTATGCATATGTGTATATATGTGTTTACATGTGTGAATGCATATATTATGTGTGTGTGTACTGAATGATGACAAACTCTCTTTCTTTGGTATTTGGATAGTCATCTGTCGGGAGGAATTTAATTGTGTCTTCCATCCAAATATGGATCATGCAATGATTATATCCACACAGAATTGTTTACAATTTGTTTATTGACACATTACAAATCTGGAAACCAAATACACAGAAAACAATTCAGAAGTTCTCGTAGGGGGATAGATCTTTCCGGAAGCCCTTCCGGAAGACGGCGGCCATCTTGCTTCTCGGCCTCGGGTCCGCCTTGAACTCGGCATCGATTTCCGCCAAGGATTTCCCCTTCGTTTCCGGGAGGAAGAGGAAGAAGAAGGTCCCGGAGGCTGCCATGGCAACGGCAAATATGAGGAAAACGAATGGCCCCAAGGCACCCTGGGAAGGAAGGAGCGACGAGATTGGCTCGGTCAAAACCTGGATTTGCATATCTGCCTGAGGAGGCGGGGCCTGAGGCGTGACAGGCACTCACCACGGCGAATGGGAAGGTGATCCCGATGAGGAAGAGCCCCGCCCAGTTGAGGCAACCGCCAATCACGAAGGCCGAGGGGCGGGATGAATGAGGAAAAATCTCCATCATGACGGACATGGCAGCCCCGTCTGCGAAGGAAGGAAGGAAGGAGAGAAGGAAGGAAGGAAGGAAGGAAGGAAGGAGAGAAGGAAGAGAAGAAAAAGGAAATGAGAGAAGGAAGAAAAAGGAAATTAGAGAAAAGAAGAGATGAATGAAAAAAGGAGGGAAGAGAGAAGGGGGAAAGGAAGAAGGAAATATTTGGAAGAAGAGAAGGAATGAAGAGAAGAAGACAATGAGAGAAAGGAAGAGATGAGTAAAAAAGGAGAGAGCGAAAGGAAGAAGGAAGGAAGGAAGAGAGAGAGATGTTGGAAATATTTGGAAGAAAAGAAGGGAGAGAGGAAGAGAAGAAGGAAGTAAGGAAGAAAAAGGGAATGACAGAAGGGAATGAAGAGACGAATGAAAAAGGAAGGAAGAGAGAGAAAGGAAGTTGGAAGTTGGAAAAATTTGGAAGAAGAGAAGAGATGGAGGGGAGGGAAGGAAGGAAGGAAGAGAAGGATAGGAAAGAAAGGAAGAAGGAAGGAAGAGAGAGAGAGAAAGGAAGAAGGAAATATTTGGAAGAACAGAAGGAATGAAGAGAAGAAGACAATGAGAGAAAGGAAGAGATGAATAAAAAAGGGAGAGAGAGAAAGGAAGAAGGAAGGGAGGAAGAGAAGAAGGAAGTAAGGAAGAAAAAGGGAATGAGAGAAGGGAATGAAGAGATGAATGAAGAAAGGAAGGAAGAGAGAGAGAGAAAGGAAGTCAGAAATATTTGCAAGAAGAGAAGAGAGGGAGGGGAAGGAAGGAAGAGAAGGATAGGAAAGAAAGGAAGAAGTGAAGGAAGGAATGGAGAGAGGGAAGATGGGAGAGAGGGAGGAAAGAAAGAGAAGGAGGAAATGAAGAAGGTGTCACCATGACGTCTGAATGGACGCCCTCCCCGATTCTTCCCAGGCGAGTGTCAGGTGTCCCGATGCGCTACTCACTAGGCCCCAATCCGAAGGCGACGACGAAGAGGAAAACAAGGGCGGCGCTGGCACAGGAGGCCCAGGGGAGACGATCCTGGGTGGAAGAGGGAGGGAGGGAGGAAAGAAGGGAGGGAGGGAGGAAGGTCATAAAAGACATGCGGTCTGAATGCCATCCTAAGTGAGGAATTCATGAACTGTCATTCAAAGTTGCGGAAGAGAAATGCTGAGGATGATTAACTCTTGGTGGAAAACAACATGTTTCCATTACCAGAGACAAGGGCTCTTTCAAGTTTCGTCAACACAATGCTTCCTTATATTAAGAAGGAAAGCCAACATCTGTCCGGAACGGATGGGTCAGCAGCAGGCTTTAGCTGGGCAAAACAACCTGTCCGTCATTTACAACATTCTGGAACAACAACAGCAAGGAAGTTGCTCTATAAGAGACCTTTTAACTCTCCCAAAGTGTGCCAGACTGCCGGGGAATGCAGAGCGCCTAACGTAGTTCTATGCAGTGGGTGGGCCTACTTCCTTTCTCTGTATTGCTCTGTGAGATACTCTGTCTCATTGAGAACGGAATAAAAGAACCCTTTAAATGTTTAAAAAGCATGCATTTTCCCCTCCCCGTATGTTTGCAGGTCTTTGCAAGTCCCATATACATCTAGATATCTAGAGATTTCTATGTACTTGTATATCTGTATCTATGTTGTTGTTGTTCATTCGTTCAGTCGTCTCCGACTCTTCGTGACCTCATGAACCAGCCTACGCCAGAGCTCCCTGTCGGCCGTTACCACCCCCAGCTCCCTCAAGGTCAGTCCAGTCACTTCAAGGATGCCATCCATCCATCTTGCCCTTGGTCGGCCCCTCTTCCTTTTGCCTTCCACTTTCCCCAGCATCATTGTCTTCTCTAGGCTTTCCTGTCTCCTCATGATGTGGCCAAAGTACTTCAACTTTGTCTCTAGTATCCTTCCCTCCAGTGAGCAGTCGGGCTTTCTTTCCTGGAGGATGGACTGGTTGGATCTTCTCGCAGTCCAAGGCACTCTCAGAACTTTCCTCCAACACCACAGCTCAAAAGCATCGATCTTCCTTCGCTCAGCCTTCCCTAAGGTCCAGCTCTCACATCCGTAGGTGACTACGGGGAAGACCATGGCTTGGACTAGGCAATGGATCTTTGTTGCCAGTCTGATGTCTCTACTCTTCACTATTTTATCGAGACTGGACATTGCTCTCCTCCCAAGAAGTAAGCGTCTTCTGATTTCATCTGTATCTATATGTATATTTTTATATATGCATTTCCCCCTCACATGTTTGCAAGTCTCTGCAAATCCTACATAGATATCAATAAATCTATATATCTGTATATATCTGTGTGTGTATGCGTGTGTGTGTATATATATAATTTTATATATGACTTTTCCCCTCACATGTTTGCTAGTCTTTGCAAATCTTATATAGATATAATTATCTATAGATAGAGAGGTGTCTAGATAGATATATGTGAATATAGATATATAGGGATTGCAAATATTACAGGGGGGGAAATGCACACACATGTCTAGATAGTATTTTTTGCTGATTGTGGGGACTCTGTGTGCCAAGTTTGGTCCAATTCCATCTTTGGTGGAGTCCAGAGTGCTCAATGATTGCAGGTGAACTATACATCCCAGGACCTACAACTCCAAAATTTCCAGGCCAATTCCCGTCAAAAAGCACCAGTATTCAAATTTGGGCATATTGGATATGCATGCCAAGTTTGGTCCAGGTCCATCATTGTTTGGGGTCATAGTGTGCTTTAGATGTAGGTGAACTACAACTCCTATAAATCCCTCCAAAGACCTCCAGTATTTTTTGTTGGTCATGTGGGGTTTGTGTGCCAAGTTAGTTCCAGGTCCATCGTTGGTGGAAGTAAGATATATAGATATATGGGGCTTGCAAATATTGCATATATAGAGAGATAGACGTCTAGATAGATATAAACATAGAGATTTAGGGTTTGCAAATATTGCAAGAAGGAAATGCACAGAGAAAGAGAGAGGATTTGCAAATGTTTCAGGGGGAAATGCATATGTGAAAATAATATACATAATTATAACTCTATATCTAGCTCTGCATTGTTTATACAAGCATTGAATGTTTGCTTGTTAATATGTTGGAAGCTGAAATGAAGTTCTTCTATTATTATTATTATTATTATTATTATTATTATTATTATTATTACGTTATTGTTGATATCATATTGTTTTTGTTGACCCTACTTTTCTACTTGTAGAGCTAGTTTACTGTTGTTGTTTTTCTAAATATGGCAAATATTCAAAAACATTGAACCTTCGGATGCCTCAATTAATGCAATTTTATTGATATCTATTTTGATTTTGAAACTGACCCGTAGCGGCTGCATTTCCCACCCTCGGCTTATACTTGAGTCAATAAGTTTTCCCAGTTTTTTGTGGTAAAATTAGGTGCCTCGGCTTATATCCGGGTTGGCTTATACTCGAGTATATACGGTATGTGGTTTTCTGTTTTATTCCGCCTCCGTTCTCCCTCCCCGCCCATCCGTCTACTGACCTGGAGGCCGAGCGCAAGGGTCAGCAGCCCCAGGGTGGCGGACATGGCCCCGCAGCCGCCCCACAGGAGGACCCGGCGGCCAAAGTGGTCAATGGTCAGCGCCTGAAGAAAGGAGGGAGGAGGAGGAGGAGGAAGACCACCGGAGAGCATTACAGTTAGAGCCGGGGAAGGGAGGAAGCAGGTCTCTGTCTCAGAGCCGGAGAAAGGGGGAAGCGGTCACGAAAGGCTGTGTTTGTATTCCGCCCTCTCTCTCTCTCTCTCCCCACGGGGACTCTTTCTTACGCAAAGGACGGCCGAAGCCAGTTCGCAGAATCCGACTCCGAGGGACACGTAAGGGATCAGGTCCTCCTTGAACCCCAAAGTGCGGAAGACATCAGAAGTGTAGAAATAGACCTGGCAATAATAATAATAGTAATAACATAACATAAATAATAATAATAACGTATTGTCGAAGGCTTTCATGGCCGGAATCACTGGGTTGTTGTAGGTTTTTTTGGGCGATATGGCCATGGTCTAGAGGCATTTTCTCCTGACGTTTCACCTGCATCTATGGCAAGCATCCTCAGAGGTAGTGAGGTCTCTTGGAACTAGGAAATTGGGTTTATATATCTGTGGAATGACTATGCAATCTTTTGTTGAATCACCTCTCAACAAAAGATTGCCCCAGGCACTGTCAGGCCATCAAATGCTAATCAAGGTGGTCAGTTGAAGCATTCACACCTAGCTCCAGCAGACAAGAGTCCTTTGTCCCACCCTGGTCATTCCACAGATATAAAAAAGGTAAAGGTAGTCCCCTGACATTAAGTCCAGTCATGTCTGACTCTGGGGTGTGGTGCTCATCTCCATTTCTAAGCCGAAGAGCCAGCGTTGTCCATAGACACCTCCAAGGTCATGTGGCCAGCATGACTGCATGGAGCGCTGTTACCTTCCCACTGGAGCGGTACCTATTGATCTACTCACATTTTGCATGTTTTCGAACTGCTAGGTTGGCAGAAGCTAGGGCTGACAGCGGAAGCTCACGCCGCTCCCCGGAATCGAACCTGCGACCTTTCGATCAACAAGCTCAGCAGCTCAGTGCTTTAACCCACTGCGCCACCGGGGGCTCCTTCCACAGATATAGAAACCCATTTTCCTAGTTCCAATAGACCTCACGACCTCTGAGGATGCTTGCCATAGATGCAGGCGAAACGTCAGGAGAGAATGCCTCTAGAACACGGCCATATAGCCTGAATAAACCTACAACTCAATAAAATAAATAAATAATAAAATAAAAAGGAATGCATATAATAACACAAATACTAAAATTAATAAAATAGCAATGATAATAAGATCAATAATAAAACAAATATAGATAGATAATAACATGGATAATAAAATAGAATACCGTAGATAATAAAATAAATAGAACAAACGAATAAATAAAGCGAAAGGACCCTTTCCTTTATTTATTTTTTTAATTTATAGATGGATAGATAGACGTAAATAATAATAATATTAAAATAGACTAAAATAGAGAATAATGTAAACAATAAAAAAATAATATAATATAAATATATTATGTCTCTATATAGATAATATATTTAATTTATATTATTTTTTATTATTTACATTATTGTCTATACTATTCTATTTTAATATTTACGTTATTATCTATTCTATTTATTTGCTAGTTTACTATGTTATATCATATTTAATATTATATATATATATATATTCCGCCCAGTCCCTGCCCCCCTCCCCAAAGAGAGGCCAGGGTGCTCACCGCATTGATGCCGCAGAGCTGCAAGGTGAGGACGGAGGCGGCCAGGATGTGCACCTGGGGCCGGAGGGCGGGGTCTCTCAGCAGCGCCAAGGGGCTCAAGGGGGGGTCCGGAGTCGCTTCCGCCTTGAGCTCGGCCAGGCCTTCTTCGTGGGCCCCAGGACCCCACAGTCTCTGCAAGGCTTTGGGGGTAAGTGGGTGGGTGATCTTTATAGTCTTCCATAGGCAACCCATTGATTGATTGGTTTCGTGGCCCCTAACCCATCCATCAATCAATAACATTATTGACATCTTGAGATTCTTAGGATGGATTTCAAGATAGAAAAGACAGCATGACGTTAGATGCGGTTAAAAACACACACACACACATACAGTATGAGATTGATTCTGTGATCTCTAATAATTAATCAATCAATCAATCCAATCAATCAATAATTTTATTGACATCTTAAAAGTCTTAGGATGGATTTCAAGAGAGAAAAGACAGTATGACATTAGATGCAGTTAAACACACACACACACATATCCAATATGTGATTGATTGATTCTGTGACCCCTAATCATCAATCAATCCAATCAATCAATAACTTTATTGACATCTTAAAAGTCTTAGGATGGATTTCAAGATAGAAAGGACAGTATAACATTAGATGCATATATTAAGACGTCAATAAGGTTATTGATTGATTGGATTGATCGATTTATTAGGGGCCACAAACTTATATATATATGTTTGTGGCCCCTAATCAATCGATCAATCCAATCAATCAATAACTTTATTGACGTCTTCAAATTCTTAGGATGGATTTCAAGACAGAAAGAAAGGTTGGCATGAAAACATAGATAGTTAGAAACATATAAATTGCATATATCTTATTGATTGATTAATTGGCTTTGTGGCCCCCAATTAATTGATCGATTCCAGACTCACCGTAAAAGAGCGCAGACCCCCATCTTCTCCTGACCGAGTCAAAAACACGTTTTTCCTTTTGGTTTCAGTGTCTCTTTCTCCACTTTTTGTGGAGGAAACCACAACACCCAAGCTAGTAATTAACTAACGAGGCCTTATAATTATTTATCCGGGTGACTAAATGGCTCATTAAGGCAATCCCCGTGCAATCCCCTTGGCCGAGGCCAGGCTAGATGACCGCTAGTCGCCCCCCCCCCCCCCCCCCCCCCCCCCCCCCCCCCCCCCGCAATCCCTTCCTCACCTTTCCGGCACCCCTCTTCGTCTTTCTTCTGAATCAAGAGGAAGGGAGGCGATTCGGGGAAGAAGGGCAAGGTCAGCAGCTGGGCAAAGGCCGCGACCCCGACAAAGGACAACAGGAAAGGCCACGACCCTTGCGACCCCAGGAGCTCCCTAGGAGGCGGGGCAGAGGTCAGCAGGGGGCCAAAAGGAAACCCATTTGATAGCACCTATTTATTATTAGTAGTAGTAGTATTATTATTTCACCTGAGTCCTAATATTTGCCCCAAGGATTTCCCAAAGGACCAGAAGAAGCCGGACGTTGCGTTGGCGAAACCCCGAAGCCTCTTTGGGGAGACCTCCCCGGCATATTGCGGGTGGACAGCCATCGAAACGCCTAGGAACGAAGGAAGGAAGGAAGGGACGAAAGACGGGAAGGTCAAGGAGACACAACATGGTGGCAAAACATTATGGAATTATGTCGGCCCTAGAAAACAACAAATCCCAAAAGCAGCAAGCAAACGACAAACAGCAGACAACTGCAAATCCCAGTTTTACAACCAAGAAACGTCTTCTCCAAATCAAGAGGCGTTTCTCTGACGCGGCTCCTTAAGACACTTAAGCAAACTTTAAATCCCAGCAAACTACAAATCCCACTGGGGTGAAATGGTCCACCAAGAGCCCTCTTCTCAAAAACCAAGACATATTTCTCCATAAGTGTCTAACCCCCCCCCCCCCCCCCCGCAAAAAGGACACTTAAGCAAACTATAAATCCCGGCGAACTACAAATCCCACTGGTGTCAACTGGGCGGTAATGGTCCATCAACATCCTCTTCTTTACCCCAGCAAATAGTTTATTTTATTTAGCAACTCCCCCCTCACACACACACAAAGGACCCTGAAGCAAACTGCAGATCCCAGCACCATACTACAGATCCCGCATTACCGGCGCCGACTCCGAAGAGGAACCGGCCGAGGAGGAGCATCGGGAGGGAAGCAGCGCTTTGGCTGAAGGCAAGGAGGAAGGAGGCGAGCAGGACAAGGAGGTCGTTGCCCAGGAGTGTCCGCTTCCTGCAAGACAGGGACCCGTTAATAGGCGTGTTAAATGAGGGACCGGCTGATTAATGAACATTCGGCCAATTAGGGAATAATTAATTGACTGAGTAATTAAGGGCTGGCTAGTTATTTAACTGACTAATTAGGGAACTAATTCATTGGATAATTATGGAATAATTAATTTACTAATTAGGAATCAATTAATCAGCTGGCTAAATAGGAACCAAATTAATTACTGAATTATTAATTAACTCGTTGGGAACCAATTAATCAACTGGCAAAAATAGAAACTAAATGAATTGACTAATTAGTGGCTCATAAACTAATCAGTGACTAAGTAACTGGCTACATAGGGACTGATTAATTAAATGATCAATTAGAGACCTATTAATTGACTAATTAGGGATTGAATTAACTAAGTAATTATGGAGTAATTAATGAACTTGCTGATTTGGGAATAATTATTGACTAATTAGAAACTGACTGATTAATTCACTAATCAGGGACTAATCAACTGGCTAATCAGGGATGAATTAATTAAGTGACCAGTTAGGGACTGATTAATCAACTGGCTAAATAGGATGTAAATTAGTTGGCTAATTAGGGTCTAGTTAGATAACTGAAAGATTAGGGGCTGATGAATTAACAGGCTAATTAGGGACTAATTATTAAGGTACATGGCTAAGTTCCTGTGGGATCTCTGTGTTAAATAAGGCATTATATGGTCTTAAACAGTCAGGACTCGCCTGGCATGATGGTTTGAATGATGATTTGGCCAAATCATCATTCTCGATTGTGGCCCCTTATTTATGGAATGCCTTGCCAGTTGAAACCCGAACCATCCGAGAGCCACTTGCTTTTCTGAAAGCATGTAAAACCTTTCTTTTCCGACAAGCTTTTGATGGGTGAATAACTCGGGACTATGTTCTCGTTTTTATTGTATTTTAAAGTTGGTTGTATTGTTTTAATCTACTGCTGTAAACTGCTCCGAGACAAATTGGGAGTGGCGGTATACAAGTCAAATAAATAAATAAATAAATAAATAATAAAAAATAGGCTTTTTGAGAAGTTGTGCAGGCCCACGTGTGCATACTAGAAGTCTACAGCATGACTATCAAATTCTTGTTGTCTATGTAAATGATTTGTGTTTTGTTTTAAATTCAAATAACTCGTTGGATTTACAAGTATTTGCAAACAGTGATTTTGGGAGCAGCTCAGATGGGAAATCAACAACTGGAGTTCTAATTAAGTTTTCTAACACAGTTCTAGATTGGAGAAAAAGCAGGGTTGTGTTGCTTTAAATTCCAGTTTGGAGCACTAAGCTTAGCATATACTGAAATCTGTGTGATAAAACAGCTACTCAAGGACTTGCAGATTGCTGTCGAAGATCCCACATGGATTTATGAGTAGATCTACATCCTCATACTAGTGTTTAGTTTAACAGTTTTTGTTATTGGAGTGCATTCCCCCCATAGGAAAGTTTTGCTCCACGACCTCCACTAAAACGAGCTCTCCTCCGCAAATAATCTGTCCTTGTTTAGCTCGTGTTTATCTCGCTGCGTTTTTAATCTGTTTCTACCCAATTTTCTTTTACCTATTACATGTAGCTTGCCCATGTTACCGTGATTGTGTTTATTGTAATTTTATATTGCTATGTTGTTTTTTGTTTTATATAATTGCGTTATTATTGTTTATTATTTGCGTTTTCGGTTTTGTTTTTATTTCATGTAATTGTTGTTTTGGGCTTGGCCACATGTAAGCCACACCGAGTCCCCATTGGGGAGATGGAGCGGGGTACAAATAAAGTTTATTATTATTATTATTATTATTATTATTATTATTATTATTATTATTATTATTATAACCAAACATGTATCCTAATGGCAACACAAGCCAGGGCAAAACAAAGAACTAAACACGTGGATATAAAATATAGTTGTGTAAGAAATGCAGTAAAGAATAGTGAAATTGGGCCACGGTTAAAGCTGCAAGCTGCAGAAAAGGCTGCTGACCGGAGGTCAACAGCTTGAAGCTGTGAGTTTGGGGTGAGCTCTTGACTGTCAGCCCTAGCTCCTGCCAACCTAACAGTTCAAAAACATGCAATGCGGGTAGATCAATAGGTACAGCTTCGGCGGGAAGGTACAAGGGCATTCTTTTACCACTCCTGAAGGGGTATAACTGGGGAGTGTTGTCGTCTGATTTTGGGCTCACTGAGTGCTTGACTCTGGGCTAACTCGGTCTACTTGGCGCTGGCCAGTTTGCCTTCCATCCTCATCTCCATGAACAAGAAATGAAGATTGGGAGAAGACCTAGGTCCTGATGGAAAGTGTTGCAAGAATTAAATGCAAGGACTATACACGGGTTTGATCCTCCAGAGCAGTGGTTCCCACCCTTTTTTTGACCAGAGACCACTTTGACCAGGAACCACTTTGTATTAATTGACTAATCAATTAACGTAATTCATCAATTAGGGATCAATTGGGCTCCTTCTCACACTCACTTGCCAAACCACAGGGCCAGACACCCGCTCGCGAGGGACCCAAGGAGGCCCCCGATGCCGAAGATGGAGACCACCAGGGACCAGAGGAAGAGGAGGGTCTGCTCTCGAGGGGCAGCGGTCGGTCCCGAGGAGGTCTCGTTGATGAAGTCCTTGATGAACTAAGGAAGGAGAAGGAAATATATAGCTCCCTCAAAGGGCTCCCTCCCTCCATGCAAGCAAGGCCTTGGGATCTGTAGTTGGGGAGGGGTCCCGGACGCTCACCGCCGAAGGGAAGCCGACGACCGCGATCTGGAATCCCACCAGGAGGTTCCCCCCGAACCCCAGCACCAGCAGCATCTGGAAGAGGCCCTGCAAGCAGATCAGGGGCGGGGGGGGGGGTGTTAATTAGCAATATTAATTAGCATTGAGATGTTACCGTAAAATCACTCTGATTGGTTAGAGGCCACAAAATCAATCAATGAATCAATCAATCAATCAATAAGCTGTTTTAATTCATCTGTCTTAACTAGGTGCGATGTCATGCCAACCTTTTTTCCTATCTTTCAATCCTCCCTAAGAATTTCAAAATGTAGCTAAAGCTATTTATTGATTACTTTAGAGGCCGCAAGATCCATCGGTCAACCAATCAACCACTCTGATCAGTCATTAAACTCTTGTTCTTTGTTTGATGTCAATTTTGCGTGTTTTAATATGTATTTTATAGGAATGCAGTTTTAATGTGGATCTTTTATAGAAATATGTATCAATCAATCATCTATGTTTTTAGGTGTGTATGTTTTCTATCTTGGAATCCATCCTAAGAATCTCAAGGCTTAACTAAAGTTATTGATTAATTGATTTTGTGGCCTCTAATCAATCGGTCCAATCAATCACTTTAGTAACATCTAGAGCTTCTTAAGATGGATTGAAAAATAGATAGATAGATAGAAAGAAAGGATGGCATGAAAACATACATACCTAAAAACATAGATTATTGATTGATTGATTGATTGATTGATTGGACCGATTGATTAGAAGCCACAAAATCAATTAATCAATAACTTTAGTTAAGCCTTGAGATTCTTAGGATGGATTCCAAGATAGAAAGGATGGCATGAAAACATACACACCTAAAAACATAGATAATTGATTGATTGATTATGTGGCCTCTAATCAATTAATCAATAACTTTAGTTAAGCTTTGAGATTCTTAGGATGGATTCCAAGATAGAAAGGACAGTATGAAATTAGATGCAGTTAAAAACACATATTTTAAAAAGGTTATGGGTGGATGGATTGATTGGTTTTGTGGCCCCTAATCAATCAATCCATCTATCAACAACATTTTTGACATCTTTAGATTCTCAGGATGTACTTCAAGATAGAAAGGACAGCATGACATTAGATGCAGTTAAAAACATACATTTTTTAAAAAATGATTAATTGATTGGTTCTGTGGCCCCTGATCAATCAATCTATCCAATCAATCAATAACATTTTTGACATCTTGAGATTCTCAGGATGTACATCAAGATAGAAAGGACAGCATGACATTAGATGCAGTTAAAAACATACATTTTTTAAAAAATGATTAATTGATTGGTTCTGTGGCCCCTGATCAATCTATCTATCCAATCAATCAATAACTTTATTGATGTCTTGGGATTCTTAGGATGGATTTCAAGATAGAAAGGAAGGATGGTGCAAAAACATACCCAATTGAAACAATATAGATTACAGTATCTTATTGACTGATTAATTGGTTTTATGTCCAATTAATTGATCTATTAATTGATCGGTTCTGTGTCCCCTGATCAATCAATCAATCCAATCAATCAATAACTTTATTGATGTCTTGGGATTCTTAGGATGGATTTCAAGACAGAAAGGAAGGATGGTGCAAAAACATACCCAGTTGAAACAATATAGATTGCAGTATCTTATTGACTGATTAATTGGTTTTATGTCCAATTAATTGATCTATTGATCCCAGACTCACCGTAAAAGAGCGCAGGTCCTCCATCGTTTGCCGACCGAGTCAAAAACACATGATTTTTTCCTGTTGTTGGTTTCAGTGTCTCTTTCTCCACTTTTCGTAGAGGAAACCATGACACCTAAGTTAGTAATTAACTAACGAGGCCTTATAATTATTTATCCGGGAGAATAAATGGCTCGTGAACGTGATCGCCTTGCGATGCCTCGGACGGAGGGAAAGGTGAAGACCCGCCAAGCGTTAAATCTCTCGGCTTCCTCGTTGCCTCGAAAAACAACTCCCCACCAAAGCTTTGACGCTTACGTAACATTTTATATGACATTTCAATCCTTCTTCACAACGATTTAAAATGTACTCAACCACTTGTGACGTATTGCATGACATTTGGCACATTTTAATAAATTCGTAACCTTTAATTTAGTATTTAAAATTTACATAACACTCTGTGGTATTTTATATTACATTTTATACATTTAACGACATCTACGTTTCGCAACGTTTACGTTTTAATAATGACTGAAATTTTAGGGACAGAAGGAAAATAAAATTAGTATTTTTAACCACTGTCATTGTTGTTATAATATTTATTGATACCCTGTTTTCATCTCTTGAGACTCAAAATTAAACCCAAATGTAATTTAATTCTATTTATTTTATTATATTGTTTATTTTCCATGTCAGGAGCAACCTGAGAAACTGCAAGTCGCTTCTGGTGTGAGAGAATTGACTGTCTGCAAGGACGTTGCCCAAGGGATGCACAGATGTTTTACCATCCTGTAAGACGCTTCTCTCATGTCCCCGCATGCTGAGCTGGAGCTGACAGATGGGAGCTCACCCCGCTACCCGGATTTGAGAAACTGTAAGTCGCTTCTGGTGTGAGAGAATTGGCCATCTGCAAGGACATTGTCCAAGGGATGCACAGATGTTTTACCATCCTGTAAGAGGCTACTCTCATGTCCCCGCATGGTGAGCTGGAGCTGACAGATGGGAGCTCACCCCGCTCCCCGGATTCGAATCTGCCGGCATAAGGGTTTAACTCATTGCACTACCGGGATCTTCTATTATATGATAATATGTATACATACATATATATTTGTTATTATTATTATTATTATTATTATTATTATTATTATTATTATGTGTGTATGTATATACATACACACACTTATCGTATGTATAGCACATATACTACAAATAAAATATAATTACATGTAATTTTACATAGATATAATTATATAATATCAATAATAATTATTATTATGTGTATATACGTATATATATATATACACACACACACACTTATTGTATGTATAACATATATAATACTACAAATAAAATATAATTACATGTAATTTTACATAGATATAATTATGTATAATGAAATATAATTACACATTATATATAAAATACTTACGTATTATATATATATATATATATATATATATATATATATATATTGTAAGTAAATTATAATTACATGTAATTATATATATAAAGTAGTCCTGCTCCCTAGTGGATACCATTTGCCTTGTAAATAAAACAACAACAATGCCATTTGGGGGTCTCTTGATTCTTTCCTGGGGGTCAGACTGGATGGCCTTCTGTGGTCCCTTTTGTCCCTTTAATTCTCTTTGTTTGTTTCATAATTTAGTGCAAAGGCTGCCACCCGGGGCTCGTTTGCCCCTCAAATTAATCCCCTGAAGTTCGTTGGTAATTTCCGTAATGGATCTCCCTTTGGTTTCCGGGAAGAAGAAGTAGACGAAGGCGGCGATCCCAGCATCCACTGCCAAGAAGATCAGGAAGCAGAAGTATCCCATTGACTCCTGAAGGGGAAAGAGAGAGAGAGAGAGAGATGGGCTGGGTGGCCATCTGTCGGGAAGGATCTGTTGCAGCCCAGCCACCTCTGTGACACCTTTTCACCCAAAATGAAGAGCCAATTAGTCCAAATCTAGCTCCGCTAACAGGAATCAATCAACTGATTTAGAGTGCTCTACAGAGTATGAAAAGCAAAGTACTCCCAAGGTTTACAGAAAAGGCAAAAGCAGGAGTACATCCCAAATACTGGCTTCAAAAATAATTCCAAAATATAGGTTACAGTCATGATATTCTTGATGCCGCAAACAGCAGAGTCCAATACGGAAAGTAAAGTCAAATATCCATAGACCTTAGGCAAAGAACTGTATCTAAAATGTGATTCCCTAATACCAAACAAAAAAAAAAAACATATGAAAAGAAGGCCAGAAGCACATGAAAAGATGACTTTCTCTTGAAATTTCAAAGTTGTTCCCACACAGAACAACTCCAGGGTTAACTTAAGAAACCAAATCCATTCCCAGAGAGACGCCATCAACAAATCAAGAACTTTGGTCCCAAAGCAAGGCGCTGGCTGCTGGAGGTGATGCACAACTGCACTGCATCCTGTCAGATCCCCAAAATCTGGAGGAAAGCAAGAGTCATTGCCATCTTGAAGCCAGGCAAAGACCGTCAAGACCCAAAAAGCTACAGACCCATCTCCCTGTTGTGCCACCTCTACAAAGTTCTGGAGAGACTTATTCTGCATAGAATTATGGAAAATATAGACCCCTGCCTGATCCCACAGCAAGCTGGCTTCAGAAAAGGCAAAAGCTGCACATCGCAAGTGCTGAACCTGACTCACCACATGGAAGATGGCTTTGAAAGGCAGCAGATCACAGGAGGTGTCTTCATAGACCTGTCCGCAGCCTATGAGACTGTGAACCACCGCTGCCTCCTCCTGAGAAAAATGTATAATATCACAAAGGACGACCACCTCACCCGCCTCATAGGAAACCTGCTACAAAACAGGAGCTTCTTTGTTGAGTTCCAGGGCCAGAGAAGCCAATGGGGGAAACAGAAGAACGGCCTGCCTCAGGGGAGCATGCTTGCTCCATCCATGTTCAACATCTACACAAATGACCAGCCACTGCCAGAAGGGACAGAGCGCTTCATCTATGCTGATGATCGTGCCATCACCGCTCAAGCAGGGAGCTTTGGGATAGTTGAACAGAAGCTCTCCGAAGTTTTAGGTGCTCTGACTGCCTATTACAGGAAAAACCAGCTGATCCCTAATCCATCTAAAACACAGACATGTGCTTTTCACCTCAAGAACAGACAAGCATCCCGAGCTCTGAGGATTATGACCTGGGAAGGAATCCCACGGGAGCATTGCAGCACACCCAAATACCTGGGAGTCACTCTGGACCGTGCTCTGACCTACAAGAAGCACTGCCTCAACATCAAGCAAAAAGTGGGTGCTGGAAACAACATCATACGAAAGCTGACTGGCACAACCTGGGGATCACAACCAGACACAGTGAAGACATCTGCCCTTGCGCTGTGCTACTCTGCTGCTGAGTACGCATGCCCAGTGTGGAACACATCTCACCATACTAAAACAGTGGATGTGGCTCTTAATGAGACATGCCACATTATCACGGGGTGTCTGCGCCCTACACCACTGGAGAAATTACACTGCTTAGCCGGTATTGCACCACCTGACATCCGCCGGGAAGGAGCAGCCAATAGTGAAAGGACCAAGGCAGAGACATCTCCAGCTCATCCCTTGTTTGGGTATCAGTCAGCACGTCAACGACTTAAATCTAGACATAGTTTTCTAAGATCTACAGAGACACTCGCTGGAACACCTCAGCAAGCGAGAGTCCAAAAGTGGCAGGCTCAAACCCAAAACCTTAATCCATGGCTGATACCCAATGAGAGACTCCCCACTGGGCACACAGAAGACAGGGAGACTTGGAAGGCGCTGAACAGACTGCGCTCTGGCCCCACGAGATGCAGAGCCAACCTCAAGAAAAGGGGCCACAAAGTGGAATCCACGACACGTGAGTGCGGAGAGGAGCCAACCACTGACCACCTGCTGCAATGCACCCTGAGCCCAGCCACATGATGCACAAGGGAGGACCTTCTTGCGGCAACACCAGAGGCACTCCAAGGGGACAGATACTGGTCAAAGGACATTTAATCAATTACCAAACTTGCAAACTTTGTGTTCTGTCTGTTTGTTTGTTTTGTTCTGTTAGAAATGCAATACAATTGACTTGTTGCCCTGACACGACAAATAAAATTAAAATCCAGAGGAGAGAGTGCTGCTTTCTCCCTGAGCCACGGCAGGAGTGGAGGGCTCCCACTCAGGGTCCCGTTCCGATCCCTTCCCCATTAAAGGGAGAGACTCACCACCAAGACGGGGAAGCCCATTCCAGAGAGGAAGAGTCCAAACCAGAGGATGGTCCCCAGGATGACCAGTGCCGGCGGCCGGACTGCACGGCCAAAGATCTCCATCATGAAGGCGAAGGTGGCCCCCGCTGGACAGGACAAAAGGAGATGGATGACCAGTCGTTGGGAGGATATCAATGGGGAGGGTCAGCTGTGGTCATTCCTTCACTCGTTCATTCATGGACTCACCAGGACCAACAGCATAGAAGACGACGAAGAGGAAGATGAAGGCGATGCAGAAGTAGGAGAGCCAAGGAAGGCGGTCCTTCGGGATAAAAAAAATACTATTATTATTATTATTATTATTATTATTATTATTATATTTTGATACTATTTTATTATTATATTACAATTATTAAACTATTTTACTATGATCTTATATTATTATTGTTAAATTATTATTATTGAATAATTGTAATATAATTATTAAACGTTATTACAGATTATTACTATATACTGTTATATTATTATACTATTTTATTATTATATTCTTATATTATATTATCTCATGTTATATTTACTATGTGATTAATGGATTATATTACAATTCTTACACTATTTTATCTTATTATTTATTATTGTTATATAATTATATATATTGTTATATTATTATGATATTTTATTATATTACAGTTATATAATGTTACTATTATATTGTTTATTATTATTGTTTAGCTTTATTATAATGTAACTTTAACATAATTATTAAATATTATTACATCATTATATTGTTTATTATATAGTTTCATTATATTATTATTATATCATATCATATTATAATAATATATTTATATTATTGTACTATTATTATCAAATTACAATTATTATACTATTGTTATATTATTTTTGTTATTATAGTGTAATAACTATTAAATACTGATATTGCATTATTATTGTCATAGTATTATACTATTTTATTATTATATTACAATCCTTATATTATAATATTATCTAATGTTATATTTACTATGTTATTATTTGCTTATATTACAATTCTTACACTTTTTTATCTAATTATTTATTATTGTTATATAATTATATATATTGTTATATTATGATGATATTTTATTATATTACAATTATATAATGTTACCATTATATTGTTTATTATTATTGTTTAGCTTTATTATAATGTAATTTTAACATAATTATTAAATATTATTACATCATTATATTGTTTATTATATAGTTTAATTATATTATTATTATTATTATTATGGTTTATTATATTATATCATATTATATCATATTATAATAATATATTTATATTATTGTACTATTATTATCAAATTACAATTATTATACTATTGTTATATTATTTTTGTTATTATAGTGTAATAATTATTAAATACTGGTATTGCATTATTATTATATTGTTATGTTGTTGTTGTTGTTCATTCGTTCAGTCGTCTCCGACTCTTCGTGACCTGATGGACCAGCCCACGCCAGAGCTCCCTGTCGGCCGTCACCACCCCCAGCTCCTTCAAGGTCAGTCCAGTCACTTCAAGGATGCCATCCATCCATCCATCCATCCATCCATCCATCCATCCATATTGTTATAGTATTATACTATTTTATTATTATGTTATACTATATGATTTTATTGTTACATTATATATTTCCGTTCTATTATTATTATGGTTTATTATAGTATATTGTAATATTATTATTAAATATTAGTTTTGCATTTTTATTATTGTTTATTATATAGTTATATTATTATACTGTATTATATTAATTATTGTTATATTATTATTATGTTTATTATTAGGTTTGTTATTAGTATATTGTAATATACAGAAGTAGGAGAGCCAAGGAAGGCGGTCCTTCGGGATAAAGAAAATACTATTATTATTATTATTATTATTATTATATTTTGATACTATTTGATTATTATATTACAATTATTAAACTATTTTACTATTTTATTCTTATAGAATTTTAATATATTTATTAAACATTATTACAGATTTTATTATTATATAGTATTATACTATTATATCATTATATTATATTACAATTCTTATACTATTATATTTACTATGTTATTATTTTATTATATTACAATTCTTACACTATTTTATTTTATTATATATTGTTATAGTATTATACTATTATATCATTATATTTAAATTCTCATACTATTATATTATCTAATATTATATTTACTATATTATTTTATTATATTACAATTATTACACTATATTATTTTATTATTTACTATTGTTAGAGGTTGTGAGGTCACAATCTGTGGGGATGCCTGCCGTTATTATTGTTTATTAGATGTTGTTATATTATTATTACATTATCATTTTACTATTGTATAATATTATTTATTTTTGCTTGCTATTATTATGATTATTGTGGTTTATTGTATTCTATCCTAATGTAATTATGAAATATGCTGCATTATTTCTGTATTATTGTTCTATGATTATTATGGTTTATTATATTATATCATATTATGGTAATGACGATTCTCTTATGACTGTTGTGTTGTTGAGTGATGCTTCTACCTGAGCTCACCTGGAAGAAGAGGGCGAGGATGAGGAGCGCCATGGAGAGGCCCATCATCAGGAAGCCGCCCCAGAGCAGGATCCGGCGGCCAAAGCGGTCGATGATGGTGGACTGGAAGAAGAAGAAGAAGAAGAAGGAAGAGAAGTAAGAGGGAGAAGGGAAAGGTGGAATCCGAGGCCGGCTGTCCCGCTTGGCAGGGTCGGCGTTGGCCTTGTGGACTTACGCAGAGGATGGAGGCCAGGAACTCGCAGGCGCCGGTGCCCAGGGTCACGAAGGGGATGAGGCCCTCCTGGATGCGCGCCGTGCGGAAGACGTCAAAGGCGTAGAAGTAGATCTGGAAGGAGGAAGGGAGGGAGGAAGTGAAGGAGGGAAGGGATGGAGGGAAGAAAGAAAGAAAGAAAGAAAGAAAGAAAGAAAGAAAGAAAGAAAAGAAAGAAAGAAAGAAAGAAAGAAGGAAGGAAGGAAGGAAGGACGGAAGGAAGGAAGGAGGGAGGGAGGGATGGGAGGGAGGGAGGGAGGGAGGGAGGGAGGAAGGAAGGAAGGAAGGAGAAGGAAGGAAGGAAGGAAGGAAGGAAGAAGGAAGGGAGGGAGGGAAGGAAGGAAGGGGGAGGGAGGGAAAAGAAGGGAGAAGGAAGAAAGAAGGAAGAGGAAGGGAGGGAGGGAGGGAGGAGAGAAGGGGGAGAAAGGAGGGAGGGAGGGAGGGAGGGAGGAAGGAAGGAAGGAAGGAAGGAAGGAAGGAAGGAAGGAAGGAAGGAAGGAAGGAAGGAAGGAAGGAGAGAAGGGGGGAGGAAGAAGAGAGGGAGGAAAGAAGGATGGAAGGATGAAAGGAAGAAAAGAAGGGTGGAGAGAGAAAAAAAGGGAGGAGGGACAGAAAGGAGGAGGGAGAAAGGAGAGATGGGAGGGAGGGAGGAAAGAAGGAAGGAAAGAAGGGAAGGAAGGAACAAATGAATGAAGGATGGAGAGAGGGAGGGAAGAAGGGAGGAAGGACAGAAAGAAGGAAGGTTGAAGAGAGGAAGGAAAGAAGGGAGGGAGGAGGAAAGAAGGAGGGAGAGGAGAGATGGAAGGGAGAAAAGAAGGAAGGGAAGAAAGGAAGGAAGGGTGGAGGGAGGAAAGTAGGGAGGAAGGACAGAAAGAAGGAAGGGTGAAGGGAGGGAGGAAGTTAAGGGAGGAAGGGGGGAATGAAGAAAGGAGGGAGGGAGGAAGGAGAGGGGAAAGAGGAAAGGAGGGAAGAAAGAAAGAAAGGGGAGTGCAGACAAGGAAAGAAAAGATGGAGGAAGAGGAGAAAAGGAAGACAAAAAAGTAGGGAAATGAAGAGAAAAAAGAAGGAAGATAAACACAATGGAGGGAGAGGAAAAGAGGAGTAGAAAGAGAAAGGGAAAAAAAGATGAGAAGAAAAGAGGAGGAGAAGGAAAAAAGGAAAGGAAGGAAGCTGACAGAGGGTTAGAATGAGAAGAGAGGAAGGAACAAGAAGGAGGAAAGAAAGAAAAAGAAGGAACTGAGAAGGAGAAGAGAACCCGGGGCCAAAGGAGGAAGAAGAAGAAGAGGAGGAAGAAGAGGGAGGAAGGAATCCCATTCATGATTTCCTCCATGGGACCTTCATTAATTAATTAATCCTTAATCTATTGTCAAAGGCTTTCATGGCTGGAATCACGAGGTTCTTGTGGGTTTTTTCGGGCTATAGGGCCATGTTCTAGATGCAGGCAAAACGTCAGGAGAAATGCCTCTAGAACATGGCCATATAGCCCAAAAAACCCCACAAGAACCTAATTCTTAATCATCAATCAATCAATCAATCATTTAAGGACCCCCTTTGCCCCCGATTGGGCTCTACTCAACAGCGCTGAGTCCGCAGAGCTGGAGGCCGAGGACGAGGAGGAGGGCGAGGGCCAGTGGTCTGCGCAGGGCGGGGGCCCTCAGGACCTCCAGGGCCCCCCACTTCCGCTTCCCGTCTGCAGCGTCCGCCTCCGCTTCCCGCAGAATCTCCTCCACTTGGGCCTCGTGGCGGTGTCCGCAGTTGGGGCCCCAGAGCGTCCGCATGGCTGTTGGGGGTCAAGGGAGGGAGGGGGTGAGCGGAGTCATGGGCTGGGAGGGGCCCCGGGGTCACCCAGACCACTGCTGTAGCCTGGTCAGGTCCTGAGGGCTCAGAAGAGGAGGAAGGGATGCTGGGAGAGCTTTGGAGGACCCAGAGGAGGATAGACATGGCGTGGAGAGCGCTGTTTTGGAATGTCCTGGCAGTTCCCGTGAGACTGGAGACAGTGATATCCATTCCCATGGGAACCTGCCGGAAGTGCAGGCTGAGAGAATCGTGGGAGACGAATGTTTGCTAAGAACTGCAGAAACAGAACATGCAACAAAGACACTCGCCTTTCCCAGAGGCTTAGAGACAAGGAGAGGAAAAGCAAGTGCGTGAGAAATGATGTCATGGGAGGGATTGAGGCCTTTGAAAGTGGTTCCTGCTGGTACACTCTTTGTGAGAGCAACGCTGCATTCAGGTGAACAGCTCTCGGTCTTCTGAGGCCTATGTTCTTGGAATTCATGTAGTCACGTTTCTAACTTGTTCTTGCTTCTAGTTCAATGTTTCTCAACCTTCCTAATATCGTGACCCCTTCATATAGTTCCTCATGTTGTGGTGACCACCAACCATAAAATTATTTTCGTTGCTGCTTCATAACTGTAATTTTGCTCCTATTATGAATCGTCATGTAAATATCTGATATGCAGGAAGTATTTTCATTCAGTGGACCAAATTTGGCACAAATACCCGATATGGTCAAATTTGAATACTGGTGGGGTTGGGGGTGGGATTGATTTTGACATTTGGGAGTTGTAGTTGCTGGGATGTATAGTTCACCTACAATCAAAGAGCATTCTGAACTCCACCAATGATGGAATTGAACCAGACTTGGAATACACAACTCCCATGACCAAGAGAAAATACTGGAAGGCTTTGGTGGGCATTGATCTTGAGTTTTCGAGTTGTAGTTCACCTATATCCAGAGACTCAAGCTAGGATGGATCTGGACCAAAGTTGGCACGAATACTCAATATGCCCAAATGTGGACACTGGTGGAATTTGGGGGAAATAACATTTGCGGGGGGGGGGGGGGGGGAGGGGAGGGTGTTGTTTCTGGGATTTATAGTTCACCTACAATCAAAGAGCATCCTGAACCCCACCAACGACAAATTTGGGCCAAATGTCCCACAGAACTCCATGACCAACAGAAATTACTGTTTCTGATTATCTTTGTTGACCCCTCTGACACCCCTCGTGACCCCCCCCAGGGGTCCCGACCCCCAGGTTGAGAAACACTGTTCTAGTTCATCTGTGCCATAGGTTGGCTGCCTTAGTTTCATGCCATCTTGTCTTTGGATATCTTTGTGGATTGATTTTGGAGACTGAATGGATTTGAATGCATTTTTGGACTCTTGGATTTCATGGAAATTACCCTTTGAACTTTGATCCTTTCTTTTGAGTTTGCTTTTTTTATATATATATATACTCTTCTGTCGATAAACTTTGACTTGCTGGATTCCCTGGACAGAGTGTGGTTTGTGGTGCAAAGGTGTTTCAGGGCTCAAGCGCAACAAGCACAACACAAGGCCTCCCAGGGGCCGCCCAGGACAGGAGGGAGCAGAAGGGCCCCCACCACTCCCACTCCTCCTCCCATGTATCCCATCATCCCCATTGACTGACCCCTGAGGCAGGCTTCCTTGTCCCCATTTTGGAGCAGGAGGTGCGGAGGAGAATTGTGGGAGACGAAGGTTTGCAGAGACAGAGCATGCAACAGAGACACTCGCCTTTCCCAGAGGCTTAGAGATAAGGAGAGGAAAAGCAAGTGCGCGAGAAATGATGTCATGGGAGGGATTGAAGCCTTTCAAGGTGGTTCCTGCTGGTACACTCTTTGTGAGAGCAATGCTGCATTCAGGTGAACAGCTCCCGGTCTTCTGGGGACTATGTTCTTGGAATTCATGGATTCAAGTTTCTAACTTCTTTGTGGATTGATTTTGGAGACTGAATGGATTTGAATGCATTTTTGGACTCTTGGATTTCATGGAAATTACCCTTTGAACTTTGATCCTTTCTTTTGAGTTTGCTTTTTTTATATAGATACTCTTCTGTCGATAAACTTTGACTTGCTGGACTACCTGGACAGAGTGTGGTTTGTGGTGCAAAGGTGTTTCAGGGCTCAAGGGCAACAAGCACAACACAAGGCCTCCCAGGGGCCGCCCAGGACAGGAGGGAGCAGAAGGGCCCCCACCACCCCCACTCCTCCTCCCATGTATCCCATCATCCCCATTGACTGACCCCTGAGGCAGGCTTCCTTGTCCCCATTTTGGAGCAGGAGGTGCGGAGGGGTTTCCGGGAAGAGCGGGAGCAGCAGCAGCTGGGCCAAGGCGGGGCCCCCGTTCAGGGAGAGCAGCAGCGGCCACCGCGAGGGGCCTCCCAGCACCTCCCTGGGACAAGCAGGGAGGAAAAGACCCATCATCCATGAATCACTCTAAGACCCATCGTTCATAAACAACCCCTCCACTATAAACAACTCCGAAACCCATCAGTCATAAGTGACCCATCATCCACACCATCTCCCAAATGACTGCAAATCTCATCACACCCATCATCCCCTCAAATGACTCCAAAACCCATCGTCAACATCATTTCCTCTCAAAATGACTCCAAAATCCACCATCCATACCATCTCCCAAAATGACTTCAAACCCCATCATCCACATAATTTTCCCCTGATGACTCCAAGACCCATCACCCACACCATTTCACCCCTTGAAATGACTACAAAACCATCACTCCACCCCAAATGATTCCAAAGTCCATCATCCACACCATTTACTCCAAATGACTCCAAGTCCCATCATCGCCACTCACAGCCCCAAAGTGACCTTGAACCATCACCACAATAATCTACAATGACTCCCAAACCCATAATCCATATCATTCCCAGTAACTCCAAGACCCATCATCCACAGCTTTTATCTCTACTGATGACTCCAGAAACCATCACCGCCATTCCCCTAAATTACCCCAAAGCCCACCATCCCCTCAAATGACTCAAAACCCATCGTCAACATCATTTCTTCTCAAAATGCCTCCAAAACTCACCTTCTGCATCATCTCCCAAAATGACTTTGAAGCACATCATCCACATAAATTCCCCCAGATGACTCCAAGACCCATCACCCACAGTTTGACCCTAAAATGACTTCAAAACCCATCACCCACTCACCCGAAATGACTCTGAAGCCCATCATCCACACCACTTACTCCAAAATGACTCCAATACCTATCATCCACACCCACAGTTCCAAAATGACTTTGAACCATCATCACATCCACAATGACTCCCAATGACTCCAAAACCCATTGCACCCAATCCCCTAAATTACTCCAAAGCCTGCCACGACTCCAAAACCCATTGCCCTTTCCTTCCTTCCTTACCTGAGCCCCATGACCTGCCCCAGGACCTTCCCCAGCGAGAAGAAGACGACGGAGGCGGTGATGGCGAATCCCCGGAGCCTCTGCGGGGAACTCTCCGCCAAGTAAGGGCCAATCGTGTTCATGCAGATCCCTGTCAATGGGAAACGAGCGAGAGAAGGAGGAAAGCCACGCGTCAAAGTCGTGCCCTGAGCCCCCAAAACAGCCTGAGGTACCCCCTCCTGTCACGAAAATATTATTGTGGATTTGAGAAATGTGGATATAATGATGTGTGGGAATGAATGGAAAAATGGAAGGATGGATGGATGGAGCTAATAATTTTGGAAACACCCGTATCATATTAAGGCCTGCCATGACTAACAACCTGCTTGCTGGAACTGTGATTAAAACCTGTTAATGAGAGTAAATCCTGATAAGAACTGGGACAGTGATAACAGAAATGTTTGCAACCTTCCTTATGTTAAGAAGGAAGTCAACATAAGATCAACACCAATCAAGAAGAGTCAACATCTGGCCAGGAAACGGAGATGGATCCAGGATGGAAGACGTCTGTCATTCATTTACAAATTTGGGACCACATCAGCAGAATCTATATCTATAAAATGCTCTGTGCATCATGAGTACCTTAAAAACAATAGAACCAATGAACGAAATCACACCAAATTTGGCAACAAAACATCTCACTACACAAGGAGTGACCATCACTCGAAACATTATGATTTTGTCATTTGGGGGTTGTAGTTGCTGGGATTTATAGCTCACCTACAATCAAAGAGCATCCTGAACCCCACCAACGATGGAATTGATCCAATCTTGGCACACAGGACTCCCATGACCAACAGAAAATACTGGAAGGATTTGATGGGCATTGACCTTGAATTTGGGAGTTGTAGTTCACCTACATCCAGAGAGCACAGTGGACTCAAACAATGATGGATCTGGACCAAACTTGGCACAAGCACTCAATACGCGCAAATATGAACACAGATGGAGTTTGGGGGAAATAGACCTTGACATTTGGGAGTTGTAGTCCCTGGGATTCACAGTTCACTTACAATCACAGAGCATTCTGAACCCCACGAACAACAGAATTGAGGCAAACTTCCCACACAGAGCCACCATACTTAAGGCCACCCAGTCGAACTCCCTTCACCAGGGCAAGAAAACGTAAACAAAGCCCTCCTGACAAAGAGCCATCCAGCTATAGATAGAGATAGGTAGGTAGGTAGGTAGATAGATATGATTTACACACACACAGATATAGTATCCTAGATTTGAAAGGGACCCCTAAAGAAGGACAATGATATGTTGCATGTTCCAAAGTAGGCAAACCAGACAATCTCCACAATCACACTGACAAAGAAACAGCAAGGAATATTGTTTACCCACAAGGAGAAAGACATTACGTATATTAGAAACCAACACTTTCACGTTACTTTATTTTCCAGATCAACAGACTGGGCCACAGCAACGCCTGGCAGGGGACCGCTAGTATTCCTATAAAAGACTCAGTCTAATAATGTTCAAAGTGTGGCAGACCTGAGGAGTCTGTTCCACCCACCATGCTCTGCTCCATGGGAAGCACAGAGATGGTGTACCTATGGAGAGTGGCAGATCTGCAAGGGAGCAGCCTGGTCAGTTTGGGGCTTCGTTCTCAAGGGAAGAGGAAGAAGGAGGGCGCTTTGGGAGTCTTAGGTTTTGTGTAGGGAGTCAGGTTCTGCTGTAGGGAAAACAGAGATTTGGTCCTTGGCATTGTGCTTAGGGAAAGGATGCATTTTGAAGTTTTGACGTTATGAAAGTTATGGAACTTAGGGTCTGGCCTAAGAGGGGCTTCTCCAAGGAAGGAGAAAAGGATATGGTAATATTTTGGATGCATGTCGATGAATGTGTGTACATGTGTGTGAATGCTCAGTGAAAATGTATTTCCCCTTTGTGTGTATGTTTGTTAATCAATGTAATTATATGTATTGTCGAAGGCTTTCATGGACGGAATCACTGGGTTGTTGTAGGTTTTTTCGGGCTGTATGGCCATGGTCTAGAGGCATTCTCTCCTGACGTTTTGCCTGCATCTATGGCAAGCATCCTCAGAGGGAGTGAGGTCTGTTGGAACTAGGAAAAAGATTTATATATCTGTGGAATAATGACCAGGATGGGACAAAGGACTCTTGTCTGCTGGAGCTAGGTGTGAATGTTTCCACTGACCACCTTGATTAGCATTTGATGGCTTGGCAGTGCCTGGGGGAATCTTTTGTTGGGAGGTGATTAGATGTCCTTGTTTGTTTCCTCTCTGTTGTTGTGCAAGGACATCTAATCACCTCTCAACCAAACAACCGGACATCTAATCACCTCTCAACCAAACAACCGGACATCTAATCACCTCTTAACCAAACAACCGGACATCTAATCACCTCTCAACAAAAGTTTGCTCCAGGCTCTGTCAGGCCATTATATGCTAATCAAGGTGGTCAGTTGAAACATTCACACCTAGCTCCAGCAGACAAGAGTCCTTTGTCCCACCCTGGTCATTCCACAGATATATAAACCCTTTTTCCTACTTCCAACAGACCTCACTACCTCTGAGGATGCTTGCCATAGATGCAGGCAAAACGTCAGGAGAGAATGCCTCTAGACATGGCCATATAGCCCGAAAAAACCTACAACAACCCAGTGATTCCGGCCATGAAAGCCTTTGACAATACATTGATATGGTAATATTTTGGATGCATGTGGATGAACGCGTGTACATGAGTGCGAATGCTGAGTGAAAATGTAATTCCCCTTTGTGTGTATGTTTGTTAACCAATGTGATTATAAATCCAATGTAGTTGAATCTGTCTGTCTGTCTGTCCAATGTCATTCTTGGTCTAAATGTTTTTTCTGTCATCTGATGTCCCCTCTCACACTGGAAATGGCAATAAAAAGAACCTATGCGTCAAAGTCATTGAGAAGTCCTTCCTGGCCCTCCGCCCTCCCCGCTTGACCTGCGGACACTCCGTAGCAGAAGCGCCCGGCCAGCAGCATCTCGCCGGAGTCGGCCATTTGGCTAAAGCCAATCAGGACAGCGCCCAGGATGACCAGCAGATCTGACCACAGCAGCGCCTTCTTCCTGCAAAGAGAAAAGGCACCCGGCACACCATGAAGGGGGGGGGGGGACTCCGCCTCTGCTCTGCGCACTTTCCTATCTCTATTGAATATATGTACCTACTCTATGTATTTTAACCCTCTAACATATTTTTGAATATGTATCTACGCATAGATTAAAAAACTAGGTTGAATTGGTTGAGACTCAAGGATGTTACACAGTGTTACGCAGTGGAATATATAATAATAATAATAATAATAATAATAATAATAATAATAATAAATGTGCTGTTACACCCAGAAGTTATAAAAATAAAGCTAAGATGTGCTTCTCTCTATGTCTGAGCGAACTGCAGGTGTCTTTCTTTAGAAGCTTGAGATACTCGGCAACTGAGGCTATTAAAGGATTTGAACATCAAAAAAGGGATATTTATTCTTCAAAGTCCTTGCAGACTAATAATAAATATAATTACTACTAATAATAATACTAATAATAATTACTAAAATATTATAATATATCATAAAACAATATAATACAATAATAGTAATAATATACTAATAAAAATTTACCAAATAATATAATATAATAAAAATAAAATAATAAAATACTAATAATAATTACTAAAATATTATAATATATAATAAAACAATATAATAAAAGGAGAAATAATGATATTTAGAAATAGCATATAAAATATAATAATTGTAATATAAAACAATATGAGAATAATATTAAATTAATAAAATAATAATACTAATAATAATTAATAAAATATTAGAATATATCATAAAACAATATAATAAATAATAATAATATTTAGAAATAACATGTTATTATAAATATAATATTATAATAAAATATAATTGTAATATAAAACAATATAATAAGAATAATCAATATTAAATAGTATATATTGTTATTATAAAAATATTATAATCATGAAATATAATAATAATAATGATAATAATAATAAATATGTAAAATCATAAAATGATAATATAATGCCGGCTGCCAGGAATCACCTGGAGGGAGGGCCTAAGTTGGCCCATGCCTCGTCTAGATGCCCTCTGGGTGCCCCTTTCCTAACAGAATGGCACCCCATGTGGCGGCCACTCACTCACTTGCCGCATTGGTGGAGGAGGGCCCCGCTGCCCAGGTTGCCACAGAGGCCTCCGAGGCAGAAGACGGAGACCACGAAGGACCAGAGGAGGGTCAGCGTCTCCGGGGAGAGAGGCGCCCCAAAACGCCGGACCCAGGACGCATTCAGGAAGGCCTGGACATCCTGCAAAAAGTGGAGGGGGGGGGGATTTATTATTATTTTATCATCATCATCATCTAGGCAGAAATTAAATTAATTTAACATGTGTTGTTGTTTATTCATTTTAAAAATTTAATGTTTTTCATACTTACATTTTTACAAATTAATTGAATACCGTTCACATTGGTTTTTTAAAATTCAATATATTTCAAATTAATTTTAAAAATTTAAATGCATTTCACATTTATTCCTTTAAAAAGTAAAATATATTTCAATTTTGAAAAATTGAATGTATTTCAAATTCATTTTTAAAATTAAATGTATTTCAAATTCATTTTAAAATTAAATGGATTTCAAATTCCTTTTTAAAATTTAATGTATTTCACATTTATTCTTTTAAAAATTAAATCTATTTTTATTTTATTTTTAATTGAAAATATTTCACATTTTGCTCTCAAAAATTAAAATATATTTCAATTTTTTTTGAGAGATTAAATGTATTTCACATTTATTTAAAAAAATTAATTGTATTTCATATTTATACTTTTACAAATACATTGAATACCATTCATAATGGTTTTTAAAAGTTCAATATATTTCAAATTAATTTTAAAAATTTAAATGCATTTCACATTTATTCTTTTAAAAAGTAAAATATATTTCAATTTTGAAAAATTAAATGTATCCAAAATTTATTTTTTTAAACAAAAATTAAATGTATTTCAAATTCATTTTAAAAATTAAATGTATTTCACATTTATACTTTTAAAAATTAAATCTATTTTTATTTTGATTTTCATTGAAAATATTTCCCCTTTTTTCTTTCAAAAATTTCCCTATAGAGGTACGATCAGCCTCGTCGCTGATGGTGTTTAGGAAGAGACTCAAAACATGGTTATTCAAACAAGCATTCGGCTAATCTGTGGCAATTAAATCGAATCTTGGTGACTATGGACAGGAAATATGGACAACGAACTCTGGATTGTGATTTTAACTTGAGATATATGGGATTATTATTGGTGGCCCAATAATTTGTTATTGTATTTGTATATGTTTTTTAAACTGAGATTGTTTTTAAAATGCTGTAAACCGCAATTGAGTCGCCGTTCTAGGCTGAGAAATTAGCGGTATACAAGTGTACCAAATAAATAAATAAATAAATAAATAAATAAATAAATAAAAATATATTTCAATTTTTATTTTTGAGAGATTAAATGTCTTTCACATTTATTTTTAAAAATTAGATACATAGAAAAAAAATTCAAATTTGTTTTTAAAAATGAGATGTAATTCATATTTCAACTCCATCCTGTGTTTACCTGGGAAGGGTAGGCGATGACGGAGACCTGGAATCCCACCAAAAGGTTTCCTCCAAATCCCAAAATGACAATCAGGAACAGGAGGCAGCGGTGCTGCGCCTAGAAGAAGGCATCAAGTCCAGATATATATATATGAAAAAATTGGGGACAAAGAAGAGGAAACAACTCACCAGTTCGGCCAGGAAAGAAGCCGCCATCCTTCTTCCGTCCTTTCCTTTCTCTTTTCCTTCCTTCCATCCAGAAGAAAGTTCAAAACTTCTGCCCTTTTCGATACAAGTAAATGATTTGCCTTTTCCTGGGATTATTTCGGGTTAAATAGTCCAAGAATAGTTGACGAAGGAGGGAAATATTCCTTCGTCACGGTGGAGTCAGCCTTTTTCTTCCTCTCGTTCTGTCCTTCCTTTCTTCCTTTCTTGTCTCAATGTCCTTCAATCCTTCCTTTGACTTCATATACATATATACACAATATACACTATATATATATATATCCTTATTCTTCTGTATAACCTTCAGAAGACATTTAAGTATTTAAATTATTTTTATTTTATCTCTAGCATTATTTTCCTTATTTATTTATTTACATCATTTCTACCCCACCCTTCTCACACACCCCCGGAGGGGGGGGGGGGGGGACTCAGGGCGGCTTACTTGGGCAACAATTCAATGCCATAATATCAGTACAACAACATAAAATCAAATACAGAGAAAATTAAACAATAACATTCATAAAACCACATACTCATATACTAGCATAGTCTCATTTGGTATCAGCCATTGGTTGAGGTTCTGGGTTTGAGCCTGCCACTTTTGGACTCTCGCTTGCTGGGGTGTTCCAGCGACTGTCTCTGAAGATCTTAGAAAACTATTTCTTGATTTAAGTCGTTGACGTGCTGGCCGATACCCAAACAGGGGATGAGCTGGAGATGTCTCTGCCTTGGTCCTTTCACTCTTGGCTGCTCCTTCCCGGCGGATGTCAAGTGTAATTTTTCCAGTGGTGTAGGGCGCAGACACCCCGTGATGATGCGGCATGTCTCATTAAGAGCCACATCCACTGTTTTAGTGTGGTGAGATGTGTTCCACACTAGGCATGCATACTCAGCAGCAGAGTAGCATAGCGCAAGGGCAGATGTCTTCACTGTGTCTGGTTGTGATCCCCAGGCTGTGCCAGTCAGCTTTCATATGATATTGTTTCTAGCGTCCACCTTTTACTTGATGTTCAGGCAGAGCTTCTTGTAGGTCAGAGCACGATCCAGAGGGACTCCTCCCAGGTATTTAGGTGCGCTGCAATGCTCCCGTGGGATTCCTTCCCAGGTGATCCTCAGAGCTCGGGATGCTTCTCTGTTCTTGAGATGAAAGGCACATGTCTGTGTTTTGGATGGATTAGGGATCAGCTGGTTTCCCCTGTAATAGACAGTAAGAGCACCTAGAGCTTCGGAGAGCTTCTGTTCTACCGTCTCAAAGCTCCCTGCTTGAGCAGTGATGGCACGATCATCAGCATAGATGAAGCTCTCTGTCCCTTCTGGCAGTGGCTGGTCATTTGTGTAGATGTTGAACATGGATGGAGCAAGCATGCTCCCCTGAGGCAGGCCGTTCTTCTGTTTCCGCCATCTGCTTCTCTGGCCCTGGAACTCAACAAAAAAGCTCCTGTTTTGTAACAGGTTTCCTATGAGGCGGGTGAGACGGTCGTCCTTTGTGATATTATATATATGATATATGATTAGGGATCAGCTGGTTTTCCCTGTAATAGGCAGTGAGAGCACCTAGAGCTTCAGAAGCTTCTGTTCTACCATCTCAAAGCTCCCTGCTTGAGCGGTGATGGCACGATCATCAGCATAGATGAAACTCTCTGTCCCTTCTGGCAGTGGCTGGTCATATGTGTAGATGTTGAACATGGACGGAGCACGCACGCTCCCCTGAGGCAGGCCGTTCTTCTGTTTCCGCCATCTGCTTCTCTGGCCCTGGAACTCAACAAAAAAGCTCCTGTTTCGTAGCAGGTTTCCTATGAGGCGGGTGAGACGGTAATCCAATATATTTAAATGACTATTTGGGGGAGGGGTCTGTTCGTCATTTCCAAATTCCTCAATTATGGGATTAAATTGCACAATTTAACAGCGGCTTTAAATTAATGACCTAAAACCCAAAACCGGTCTCTTTCCCAGGAATCGGCTGCAAAGGAACAAATTCCAGAGCGAATTTGGATGGGAGGGATCTCAATTAATCCTCTTTTTCAATTAAAGTATTTCCCAGGAAAGAAGAGAAACAACAGCCTTGGAAAAATACTCGCTTAAAAATATCCGTAGTTATTGGTTTCCTTCCCACCGAGGACAAGGCAGGCGCCTCTCTCTTCCCGAATCAGAAACAATTTGTTCTCAAGCGTCGACATTCACAATATTTGGCCAGAAGGATTTATTTCACAAATTATATATAAATACATCAAAGTCTGGATTTAAAGCATTATATACCCCAAAACAAAGAGAATATCGTTATCCCAGAAATAGAACAAAATACAGATTGTCTCTTTGAGGTAGGTCTTGCAGGAAGGAAAGGCGGGGTGTCAGTCACTAAATAATAATAAGGATTGGGTTGATTGCTTGGACAAAAAATATCAATAATTACATAATAATATTAATAATAATAACAACAAGAACACTTGGATTGCTTGCTTGATCTAAAAATATAAATAATAATAATAATAATAATAATAATAATAATAAGGATTGGATTGATCGATCTTAAAATAACAACAACAACAACAATAATAATAATAATAAAGGTTGGATTGATTGCTTGATCTAAAATATCAATAATTAAATAATAATAATAATAATAATAACAACAAGAACGATTAGATTGATTGCTTGATCTAAAAATATAAATAATTAAATAATAATAATAACAACAAGAACGATTGGATTGATTGCTTGATCTAAAAATATAATAATAATAATAATAATAATAATTGGATTGATTGCTTGATCTTAAAATAACAATAAAATAATAATAATAAAGATTGGATTGATTGCTTGAACTAAAATATCAATAATTTAATAATAATAAAAATAGGATTGATTGCTTGATCTAAAATTATCAATAAATAAATAAATAAATAATAAGGATTGGATTGATTACTTGATCTAAAATATTAATAATTAAATAATAATAATAAGGATTGGATTGATTGCTTGATCTAAAAATATCAATAATAATAACAACAACAACAACAACGATTGGATTGATTGCTTAATCTAAAAATATAAATAATTAAATAATAATAATATTAAAAAGGACTGGATTGATTGCTTGATCTTAAAATAACAATATAATAATAATAATAATAATAATAATAATAATAATAATAATAAGGATTGGATTGATTGCTTGATCTTAAAATATCAATAATTAAATAATAATAATAATAATAAGGATTGGATTGATTGCTTGATCTTAAAATATAAATAATTAAATAATAATAATATTAAAAAGGACTGGATTGATTGCTTGATCTTAAAATAACAATATAATAATAATAATAATAATAATAATAATAATAATAAGGATTGGATTGATTGCTTGATCTTAAAATATCAATAATTAAATAATAATAATAATAAGGATTGGATTGATTGCTTGATCTTAAAATATCAATTAAATAATAATAAAATTAATAAAAATAATAAGGTTTCCTAAGGATTACATTGCTTTTTTCATGTCAAACTAACATGAGTTCGTCATAATAACCATAAATAGTAATAATAATAATAATAATAATAATAATAATAATAATATAAATACAGTTTCCTACAGATTTCATTGCTTTCTTTGGGTCACACTAACATGATCATGTCATAAACATCATAATCACTGATAATCATAATATATTTCCCAGGGATTGGGTTGATTTCTTCTCAAAAAATAAATATCTTAATAATAATAATTATAACAACAACAATAAAGAGTAGTTTCCTTACAATTGCATTGATTTCTTCAGTCAAACAAACACGATTTCATCATTATCAATGATAACGACAATAATAATAAATTGATTGCAATGTCAATAATATGTCAATAAAATTACATTCAATATTCATGATTAATATGATTAATACTGATTTGGAAAGAGGCTTCCCTCTCATGCACCAGTGTGGAGATTATGGATGATGCAGTGCAATACCCTCTCTCTCCATATATATATAGATATATGTATATATATACATTAAGGCCTTAGGAAGGGGCATGGCCCCCATTCCAGCGTCAAAAGGGTTTGTTTACATTGCTTTAAGTGCCGTGCAAAAGTGCAAAGAGCAGCAAAGGGGAGGCATCTGTCCCTCTCAAAGTGCGGTGGCCCTCTCTTCTTCCTTTTCCTCTTCCACTTCCTCTTCCTCCCTGCAGACCTCCAGGGGGGCTTGGCCTTGGGGGAAGTTGCGCTTCCTGAACTCAGCAGAAATTTCCAGGAAGGTCTTCCCTTTTGTTTCCGGGAGGAAGAGGCCCAGGAAGAGGGCGGCCGAGAGGCAGACGAACAGGAAGGGCAGGTAGCAGAAGGGGCCCAGGGCGTCCTGGGAAGAGGAAGAGGAAGGGGAAGGGGAAGCAAGTCATTTCCTCCTCTCGTGAGAGGGAAGAGGAGAGGGAGGGAGGAAGGAAGGAAGGTGAGAAGGAAGGGGAAAATGAATAAAGAAGTTAAGAGAGAAAGGAAGGAAGGAAGGAAGGAAGGAAGGAAGGAAGGAAGGAGAGAAGGGAGGGAAAAAGGAATAAAGAAGTTAAGAGAGGAAGGAAAGAAGGAAGGAAGAAAAGGGAAGAAGGGAGGGAGGAGAAGAATGAAAGAAAAAAGCATAAGGGAGGAAGACTATAAGGAAGGAAGGAAAGGAGTAATAAGGAAAGAGGTACTGAAGGAAAGAGAGAAGGGAAGGCAGACAGGAAGGAAGGAAGCAAAGAAGGAAGGAAGGGGGAAAGGAAGTGTAGAAGAAGAGAAAGAAAGAGGGAGGGAGAGAAGGGAGGGATGAAAACAGAAGGAAGGAAGGAAGGAAAGAAGGAGAGAAGGTAGTAAAAAAGGAGTGAAGAAAAGAAGGAGAGAAGGGAGAGAAAAAGGAATAAAGAAGTTAAGTAAGTAAGTAAGTAAGTAAGTAAGGAAGGAAGGAAGAAAAGGGAAGAAGGGAGAGAGGAGAAGAATGAAAGAAAAAAGCATAAGGAAGGAAGACTATAAGGAAGGGAGGAATGGACTAATAAGGAAAGAGGTACTGAAGGAAGGAGAGAAGGGAAGGAAGGAAGTATAGAAGAAGAGAAAGAAAGAGGGAGGAAGAGAAGAGAGGGATAAAAAGAGGGAGGGAGGGAGGGAGGGAAGGTAGTAAAGAGGAAGTGAAGAAAAGAAGGAGAGAAGGGAGGGGAAGAAGGAAAGAAAAAAGTATAAGGAAGACAATTAGAAAGGGATGAATGAATTAAGGAAAGGGAATAAGGAAAGAAAGAGAGAAGGAAGGAAGAAGGGAAAGAAGGAATGCCGGGCAGGAAGGAAGGAAGGAGAGAAGGAGGCATGGGAGGGATGAAGAAAGGAAGAAGTTAGAGGAAGGAAGGAAAGAAAGAAAGAAAGAAAAGAAGGGAGAAGGGAATAAAGGGAGAGGAAAGATAGGAAAGAGAGAAGGAAAGGAAGGAAGGAAGGAAGGAAGGAAGGAAGGAAGGAAGGAAGGAGAGAAGGAAGGGAAGACTGAAGATAGGAAAGAGGGAGGAAAGGAAGGAAGGAGAGATGGAAGGAAGAAGAAAGGAGAAGGAAAAGGAATGATAAAAGTATATGAGAGGACTTCTATAAGGAAGGGAAAAATGAACTAAGGGGAATGAAAAAGGAAAAAGAGGGAGAGAAGCAAAGAGTGAAGGGAAGGAAGGCTGGAAGGGAGGAAGAAAAAGGAAGAAGGGAGAGAGGAGAGAAGATAGTAAAGGAAGGAAGAAGAGGAAGATGGGGAAGAAGGAAAGAAAGAACCTGGACGACAAGGAAAGGATGAATGACCTCAGGGGAGGGAACAAGGAAAGAGGGAGAGAGGAAATGAAGGAAGGAAGGAAACGAGGGAGGAAGGGGCGGAGTTCTTCCTACCACGAGGAAAGGGAAGGCGGTGCCGACCAGGAAGAGGTTCGCCCAGATGAGTGACCCCGCAACCACGTAGGCGGTCGGGCGGGAGACCTGGTCAAAGACCTCCATGGGGACGACCCCCGTGACCCCGGCTGGAGAGAGAAGAGGAGGGAGAGAGACGGGGTCAGGCTAGGTGCCCTTTGGGTGCCCCTCCCAACTGCATTCCCTTCACAGATAGGGGGCTCTTTGGAGGCTGAATTTATGCGTTTGTTTATATAAATCATGTCTATTTATTTGTTTGTTTATTTAGAGCGGCTTACAAGTTATATATTATATTATTAGCATAGCACAGTATTAGTATTATATATTATTCCATTGTACTGTACCATTCTACTGAAATGTTATTAGTAACATGTAATATGAAATATAAATTATATTGTATTATTATTAGTATTATATTGTATTACATTATAATATTATCAATATTATATGTGTATACAATATATTACTATAAATTACTATAGTGTACTACACCATTATACTGTAATATTATTAGTATTATTACATGTAATATAAAATATATAATTATTATATTGCATTGTCATTAGTATTAGATTGTATTACATTAAAATAGTATCAATATTATATGTGTATGCAATATATTACTATGCATTACTATAGTGTGCTATACCACTATACTGTAATATTACATGTAATATTAAATATATAATCATTATATTTATTATTAGTAGTATTATATTGCATTACAATATTATCAATACTATATGTATTACTATATTGCACTATACTAATATACTGTAATATTATTAGTAAAATTACAGGTAATATAAAATATATAATTATTATACTGCATTGTCATTAGTATTAGATTGTATTACATTATAATATTATTGTCAATATTATATGTGCATACAATATATTATGATATTAGCACAGCACAATATTAGTATTATATATTACTATATTGCACTATACTAATATACTGTAATATTATTAGTAAAATTACAGGTAATATAAAATATATAATTATTATATTGCATTGTCATTATTATTATATTGTATTACATTATAATAGTATCAATATTATATGTGTATGCAATATATTACTATGCATTACTATAGTGTGCTATACCACTATACTGTAATATTACATGTAATATTAAATATATAATCATTATATTTATTATTAGTAGTATTATATTGCATTACAATATTATCAATACTATATGTATTACTATATTGCACTATACTAATATACTGTAATATTATTAGTAAAATTACAGGTAATATAAAATATATAATTATTATACTGCATTATCATTAGTATTAGATTGTATTATATTATAATATTATTGTCAATATTATATGTGCATACAATATATTATAATATTAGCATAGCACAATATTAGTATTATATATTACTATATTGCACTATACTAATATACTGTAATATTATTAGTAAAATTACAGGTAATATAAAATATATAATTATTATACTGCATTGTCATTAGTATTAGATTGTATTACATTATAATATTATTGTCAATATTATATGTGCATACAATATATTATGATATTAGCACAGCACAATATTAGTATTATATATTACTATATTGCACTATACTAATATACTGTAATATTATTAGTAAAATTACAGGTAATATAAAATATATAATTATTATATTGCATTGTCATTATTATTATATTGTATTACATTATAATAGTATCAATATTATATGTGTATGCAATATATTACTATGCATTACTATAGTGTGCTATACCACTATACTGTAATATTACATGTAATATTAAATATATAATCATTATATTTATTATTAGTAGTATTATATTGCATTACAATATTATCAATACTATATGTATTACTATATTGCACTATACTAATATACTGTAATATTATTAGTAAAATTACAGGTAATATAAAATATATAATTATTATACTGCATTGTCATTAGTATTAGATTGTATTACATTATAATATTATTGTCAATATTATATGTGCATACAATATATTATGATATTAGCACAGCACAATATTAGTATTATATATTACTATATTGCACTATACTAATATACTGTAATATTATTAGTAAAATTACAGGTAATATAAAATATATAATTATTATATTGCATTGTCATTAGTATTAGATTGTATTACATTATAATATTATTGTCAATATTATATGTGCATACAATATATTATAATATTAGCACAGCACAATATTAGTATTATATATTACTATATTGCACTATACTAATATACTGTAATATTATTAGTAAAATTACAGGTAATATAAAATATATAATTATTATACTGCATTATCATTAGTATTAGATTGTATTACATTATAATATTATTGTCAATATTATATGTGCATACAATATATTATGATATTAGCACAGCACAATATTAGTATTATATATGGCTATATTGTTGATGACCGCTATCATATCTCAATCTGTTGTCCTTAAGTGACCTCTGGATGACCTCACCGGGCCCGATGCCGAAGCTGAGGATGTAGGCGAAGATGCAGCTCATGCTGACGTAGGGCATCCACGCCAAGCTTTCCTGAGGAAGAAAAGGAAGCATCTTTCATATTTTCCTTGACATAAATATTCCCTTCTGCACATGCCCAGAGGCTATGGAGAGCCAGGCATGGCCACGACCCTGCTTCGTCCCCAACTGACCTGGAAGTAGAGGGCGAAGGTGAAGACCAGGGCCCAGAGGGACATCAGGCTGTAGCCGCCGACCACCAGGACCCTCCGGCCAGCCCTCTCGATAACCACCGTCTGCAAGGAGGAAGGCATTACTCTCCATTGCCTCTCTATATGGAGACCCCATTATGAGTCCTTTCCACCACAGCCTCTGGGCATGTGCAGAGTGACTCACGCAGAGCATGGCGGTCAGCAGCTCGCAGCTTCCGGTGCCGATGATGCAGTATTGGATGCTCTCACTCGGGATCCCAGCCTCCTGGAAGACCTGCGAGGCGTAGGAGTACATCTGGGGGCAGGACACGGGATACCCGTCACAGCAGGGCCTTGGCAGGAGTGGCCCCAAGGGAGCTAGCTCCGCCCCCTGGAAGCGAGGCTCCTCCCCTTAAGCCTGTCATTCGCATAGTTAAGCCCCACCCCCCATTGAGCCTCCTCTCCTCAATGGCTTCCAGCATCTGCAAAGAGCCAAGCCCCACCCACCCTGAGCAAGGCTCCGCCCCCTCAATATGTCACTTGCAAAATGAAGCCCTGCCACTTTCCAAGTGAGGCTCAGTCTCTCATTCTCCTGTCACTTGCTTAGAGGGAGGCCCCGCCCCTTCCAAGTTAGGCCCCACCCCTTCAACATCTGCCCATCAATTGCATAAAGCTAAGCCCCGCCCCTTCCAAGGGGGACTCCTCCGCTCAATGGATTCTGCTATTTGCATAGAGCAAAGCCCCACCCACTCTGAGCAAGGCTCCGCCCCCTCAACCTCTGCCAGTCACTTGCAAAGTGAAGCTCTGTCTCTTTAAGTAAGGCTCCGCCCCTTCTACTTCGGCCTGTCACTTGCAGAGTGAAGCCATGCCCCTCCCAAGGAAGGCCCCGCCCCCTCATTCATCCATCACTGGCATAGAATGAAGCCCCTCCCCTCCAAGTGAGGCTCCTCCCCTTACTCCAAGTGGGGCTCCTCCCACAAAGCTTCCTCTTGTCACTTGCGTAGAGTGAAGCCCCGCCCCTCCAAGTGTGGCTCCGCCCTCTCAACCTGCACCTGTCACTCGCATAAAGCAATACCCCACCCTTTCCAAGTGAGGCCCCGCCCCCTCATTCTACTGTCACCTGCTCAGAGTGAAGCCCCTCCTCCTCAGTGGAGACTCCTCCTCTCTAAGTGACCTGAGGCACCCCCTCCTCCTCCTGTCATTTGCATAGTGAAGCCCCTCCCCTCCAAGTCCTAGGGGGTTGAGAAGGGCGGGGCAAAA